AAAAAAAAAAAAAAAAAAAAAAAAAAAAAACTTAAAAAATAAAAAACAAGGAAAAAAAAAAAAAAAAAAAATATACATTATAGTTATATAACAATCAAAAAATACTTTTAAATGAAAAAAATATAAGTAAGGTAAAGGAAATACTTGTTTTTGATTTGACAGACCTGACCTCGTCATGATGTGCGCGTTTATTTCTAAATTCCCAAGATCACTTTTTAACCAATTTAAAGTATGTTTCAGGCCATTCTGGGCATTACAAAATTTTCTCGCTGAGGAAAACTATCGGATCCTGCATATCACCTAAAATTCATCTATGACGAATTTCAACCTAGTTGTTGTTCCCATTTTTTCACTAAGTTTACTCCATTCTAATGCATTTAAAATATCAATTGGAGTATTTATGTCAGCAGAGAGTAAAATGCCCACTACAACTTCTTTGGTATATAATAAAGCAAACCACTTAAATTACATTTTATGGCCATTTTTTTTCAATATCAATATATGAATCATTGTTGTTCACACACACTATCTAATGGTTAGCAGGATCCAGATAAATAACATACACGCTCACCCTTGAGTTCATACAAGAAAATCCCCCATCCAGATATAAAGAAGATGATGGTGATCATTGGCCTACTGGAAATTGGAAATGATATGCCTGATTGGTTAATGACGGAAACACGCTCAACTTGCTAACCGACAACGCTTGCTATCCGGTAGCGTATCCATATCCTGGGAACGGTTACAGCTAATTGATCGGGCATTCACACATGCATGCTATTAAGTAGGGCTAATGGTTAGCTCCCGATCTGGATATCAAGACTCTAGTGTGAAACCAAACTTAATATTGTTGACCAGAAGATGTTTCTTAAGTCGGTTTTCCACTAGGCGAATTTATTCGCGCAAATCAAAAGCGTCGGTTTATGCGGAGTTTTTTGCAAAGCGAAAAAATGCGCAACCAATCAAAATAAATTTGCCTAGTGGAAAACCAGCTTTAAAGGGGTTTATAATGCATTTCTTACATTTCTAACTTTCTGGACAGCATCTTGAACCTTCTTATCTTTGATCTCATTCATGGAGTGTAGGTTAGATGACGGAGTTGGAGCTCTAGACAAATGTAAAAACTCCTTTATCTCTCTACTCCTTTGAACCTCCATGCTCTTCTTAAGTTGTGTTCTTTCCCTGTAAACATAAAATTAATTCATTAGCAATCTAATCCATTGTTTTGTATTTGTATCATCTTTTGTGTTTTTAGTCCCATTTTCATCATTTTTGTTGAATCACATGCCTCAGTCTAATACATGTTTTTATTTGTTGAAAGTGGATTGAGCTGTTGCATTCAGAAGATATGTAGACTCAAATCAGTTATACTTTTTAATGTTTTACTTTTGCCTACATTTTTTATGATGGAGCAAGGGCAGTTTACTGTTTGGCTCGTGTCTATTCCTTGCTCCTGGCAAGATTGTACTCTTTTACTTTGCCAAATAAATATTATTATTATTAAATCAAATCAACATACTGTAAAGCCCTTTTTTCACGAGCCCTAACTTTTTGCATTATTTGCGATAAAACAGCAATTCTGCATGATGTGAAGAAATGACTGGAAATCGTAAATTCGTGAAAATAAAAGGCAGCAAAAGATTATAAATTGTAAAACCCCAAAAATAAAGGGCTGCGAAAATAAAGAGCTTTAAAATAACTGTGGTTGGTGCAGTAGTTGGGATTTGGCCAAGGTATTTTACCTATAGTTATCTTTCTTTATATCACACCTAAATAGATCTTTGTCATTTGATTGGTGGATTTTGTATCACATGATATTGGTTATTTACACAATTTCGTCACTCATCATGAAGATTAAGTTACATCTGTGCATTTTTAGTTCCATCCATGCATTTTTGGTTCCATCCACTTTGCTCCAGTGCATGCTTCAACATAATACAGTCTTTTCATTGGTTAAAAGATACTGGACTGTTCCATTCCAAAAAAAGGCATATTTTTTTCATAAAATTTCTAATGACAAGGATCGATATTAAGTTACACATTTTATGTTATAAAACAAATAGTGAATGTTTCTTTATTTGTGCAATGGAAAGAATATTTTCATTCACTGAAAGATTAATTGTTCCATTCAACTCGTAGAAAGCTCAAATACTAATCAGATTACCAACTGCAATACTATGGAATTATTTCCCCGGGGAGCTGTGTATAATGTTTCATAGGTGTTTGATTCAATGACAGGGGTAGTGGAGCGCATACACACCTTGTTGTTATGACACGATCAACATTCAATATCCACAATAATATAGGCTATGGTCATTTTTAGTGGTTGAATAAGCACTCCAAATTTAATTAAGTTGTTAATCAACATACATGGATAAATCATTAATTAATGAATATAAGCAATTGTACATACTTAGCTTGTAAACTTGCATTCTTTTTAAGTTGTTGTGTATGTGATCTTTGAAGCAACTCTAACTCCATCTCCACCTGAATACCAAGGTGTGCCTTCTTTTGTTCCAATTCATTCTTATAATGACTCTGACACACTTTCACCATCACGTTCTCATGTCGAGCTTTCAACGACGCCATCTATATAAATTTAATGGGTATAGATATAGATACACTGTTAATTAAATTATAAATATCCAGCGAGAATTACAACAAAACAATTCAGCTTTTACAATTTTTTTTACTATGAAATATACTCAAACTAAGTATCAGTCAATTAAAAGTTACAATGCAACTTAAACCAACTATAAACTATAAAAACAAATTTTATCATTTAAAAAAAATGAATCTCAGTTTTTAAATGACAATAGCCACCTATAATTTTGAACTGCACATGCCAACTTTTAAGGTCAATTAACATAAACAAACATTTGAAACACACACCATATGCTAGGCCTTAGCTACATAAACCTTGAAGTTGGTGTGCCATTGGAATTGTCTGAAAAATACTTCTAGTAATTGAAGTATAATAATAATTCAAGATAAAATTCAGATAATTGCAAAGGCTATGCCAAATTGGAGGTCTATGTTGTGTATATTACTTTAAATGTTTGCTTATTTTATGTCGACTGACCGTCACTACAGGCATGCAAAATTTAAACTATGAATTGGCTTATTAATAAATGTTTAAATACCATTATAATGTTAAGTAGTTTACATGAACAATACCAGTTAATTTCTGGCAGCAAACTTAAAAGTTTTCGTAGTAAAATGTCTGTAAATCATTGAAGAACTGATTTTTAATCTGTGAAAGTTGATGCCTATTCTTATAAATGAGTGATTCAAGTGGGTTTTCAATGATTTTAGGGACGGGACTACCCTGAGTTTGCAAAAGAAAAATAATTATATAAACAGTTGTATTTATATATCTTTATTGGTGATAAGACTATTTTCTTATTAATTTTTTTTTATATTTTGCATGTACAATTCATGTTCTTGTTTCCTCATATAATTCTGGCAGAAAAAAATGTGTTTTTTTATATGATTTTTGAGATGGGACTATACCTTTAATGGTCTATGCAAAGGAAGAATAATTATATAAACAGTCGTATTTATATATCTATTTTTTGGAGTTAAAACTATTTTTTTTTATTAATTGGAATGTTCTTATTTCCTCATATAATTCTGGCAGAAGAAAACGTTTAAAAATAATTAATATTTACTTGAGTTCGCTGTGAAGCTTTGAATTCCTCCATCTCTCTTTCAATCTTTTGCACCGAATCTCTGAAATATCAAATATTAAAATCAGCAATTAAGCAGAAATGAATATACTGCCCTCTTTTGATAGATATTTGAAGAGTACATCCATATCACGAGCAAATTATCAGACGATAACTTACGCTGTTTTACGCTTCTTTTCTTTCTGATGTTGCTTTTCAAGAACTTTGTGTGATTTTTGCTGCGATGACTCAAGTTTTTGAACTTCTAGTTCGTGCTCTTTCTTCAACTTACTTACTTTCTTCTCATGTTTCTTTGTTATTTTGTCTAACAGTTGAGTCAACTTCTGTGTATCCTTTATATATTTCTGAAAGCAATAAAATTCTAATGCATGAGATGGATAGGCAGCACCTCATATGAACACCTGTAATATGCACATCTTTAATATGCACACCTGCAATAAGCACACCTGTAATAAGCACACCTGAATATAAAACACCTGAATAAAGCACACCTGCAACATGCACACCTGAAGTAAGTACACCTGAAGTAGGCACACCTACAATATCCACACCTGAAGTAAGTACACCTGAAGTAAGCACACCTGCAGTATGCACACCTGAAGTATGCACACCTGCAGTATGCACACCTGAAGTATGCACACCTGCAATATGCACACCTGCAATATGTAAACCTGCAATATGTAAACCTGCAATATGGACACCTGCAGTAAGCACACCTGCACTATACACACTTGCAATATATACCCTGCAATATAGACGAATCCAAGAATGGCGCCCTCTGTTGTCGACACCATTACTGGGGATTCCGGGAGTTATTCCTACACCTAGGCCTACTCCTAAAATGTCAATGCGGTGTGGTTATAAACACAGTACCCCATTGAGAAATCCGGCTTTTTATTTTGCAGCTGAATAATGCTGTCAGTCTTCAAACTAAAAATTTATCAAAGTTAAGTACAGTTTATCATACCTTTTGTTTACGAATTTCCTCAATAGTTGTTGGTACAACTTCTTCAGCTAGAATAGAAAGGTAAATTGTTTGTTATTAATGATAAACAAGACTATTAATTATAAACAAGGATAAACCACAAAACATCTTTTTTGATATTAGCAAGGGGCTCACTTCAATTGCCTTTTTAAATGTCTGTTTCACACTGTGACTGAATATACACAAACAGGTATTTTTCTGTCCAATTTAAGAGTGTTTTATTTGGTAAATATGTTTGTTACAAGATCAATCTGAAATATCTGATCAGAAAAATCTTGTCTTCCCTTGTCGAAATAATGTTATTTTATCAGACAAAAGTTACAACAAATGTCGTTTGTTAGACTTATGAAACTTGACAGAAAAAAGTTTGAGAGTGTATGGAGTCGTGGGAGGTTTTCTATGAGATCCAGATGACCATGGTGTGCTCAAGCTCAAGCAGGATGCAGAGGAAGACCTCTCGCAGTGTCAGTGGGCGAAGCTTACTGGTTCTGAAGCACTCTCAGATGTAAATGGTAAATTTCATCATAATTTTGATGGTAATGCAAGCTAAGTGGGTGGTTTGATTTACCAGACAGGGGTTTGCTCGTCCCACCATAAAAACTACCTCTGGTTGCGAGCTTTTGTATTATGATGTAAACACGATACCAAGTAACAATTAGATTCATGAAAAATATTCAAAGACTCACAAATACACATACTCCAACATTCAACCAGAACAATTCAAACCATCTAATCACTTACTATCAAAATAATCATCAAGAAATGAGTGAGAGAAATAATTGTCAAAACTGTAAAGAGTTTGGAGGAATAAAACTCCATTGAGATGGAAAAGTTTAGGATTTATATTAGATATTAAGTGCAGGTATATAAGGAAAAAAAACGGAATGTATATCAACTAAAAAACAGTGATTTTTCTTTTAGGGAAGTCAAAAGAACCAAGGAGCATGCAAGGAGATGCTTCCAAATCAACTGAGTTAAGAAGCAAAGTGAGGTATATCAACTAAAAAAAAATTCAGAAAGAGAAAAAATAGTAACGTAATGTAACGTATTTAACTAAATTGGTCAATGAGAAACCAAAGTGCCAGACACGACTCTGTAATATGGAATGACTTAAAACCCGAGTCAAGAAACAAAAGTACTTGGTATCGGCTGTATTCAAGGAACAAACAAGGAGTGATGTCCTAGTCTAAATCAGTCAAGGAGCAGGCATAGGTACCAACTCAAAGTGAGTCAAGGAGCAGGCATAGTAATAGGTACCAACTCAAAGTGAGTCAAGGAGCAGGCATAGTAATAACTCAAAGTGAGTCAAGGAGCAGGCATAGTAATAGGTACCAACTCAAAGTGAGTCAAGGAGCAGGCATAGTAATAGGTACCAACTCAAAGCGAGTCAAGGAGCAGGCATAGTAATAGGTACCAACTCAAAGCGAGTTAAAGAGAAAATAGGAAATAATATCAGGAACTAGGGATTAAGGTTTAAATAGATACTAGACTTTAAAATAAATGCAACGTAGGCATGATAACAAATGAAGCTTGGGCTTAGGTTAAAAAACTAACAAAAAAACTAGATGCAGCTTAGGATAATAGTAAAATTAGGACATTTATTCTGAGCTGGAGACAGAATGAAAGCAGGTCTGAAAGGTATATTAAAAAAAAAAACATTAAAAAATAAGTTTACAAAATATATCATCAAATGGAGAATAAATGGAAATAGTTTGGAGAGGGAATTGTGCAAAATAAAAATATTATAACAAAATATTCTACATGTGAATTGCATAAGCTTACCATAAATTATTCTCCTTGTAGGATTAAATGTAATTATAGTTTTTGAATCATTTACAAATAACAACAATCATGCATCACAAAATAGCAGAAAATGTTTTCTTCACACAGATGTTCTTAAACATGTTTAAAAACATTCCAACTAATATAAATTGAATTTATTCATCTCATTAAATTTATTTATATAGCTTATTTGTAAATTTTTTCCCATTTGCAAATTTGAGAATAGTAAACTTTTTGATATTTTATAAACTAAGTTTCAATTATTCCTAGGGAATTTTGAACCTATTAGCTTAGGACTGGTACGTTAACCTGATAAATTGATTTAAGTTTCAAGATCCATTTTATTTTGTTGTACATAAAAACACGAGATATTTACTTGTGATGGTGGTGATGAATAGTATTCCTTTTGTTTTGAGTATGTGATGATTAGTATTCCATAATGTTTTGAATGTATGATACAGTAACATATCAAAATTATTTACCTCTTTTTTTCGAACAACACAGCATTGTGCTGTGCTGGTATACATTTCATTTGGAAACTTTAGTTCTTAATCAAAATGACCTTAAGCTAACAGATTGATAACATGAAACAGTTGTGGTGCCAGCAGAAGTTACGGGGAGAAAACATGGATAACCACCTCCTAATTCCCCCACCACTTGTTGTAGGACAACCCCTTGAGGTCTTCAAACTAAATATATTAATTTACTACAATCAAACTTTATTTTGATTGCAGCTTCTAATATTGTGGTTTTAAAAGCACAATTTTTATTGTGTTAAAAAAATTTAAAAATGACTCCAAGCTAGGGTCTTTCCCCTGAGACTGAACAGAGGGTCTAGGCGGCCTATTGGTCTAAACCACCTAGTTAATAATAATAATAATAATAATAGTGTAGTTTTACATAGCGTACATATCTATCTAATGTAAGATGGATATAGACTCCTTATCGGAAGCCACCACTATGATGACAGTTAGTGCACCACAATGTTATCATACAAAACACCTTAATATCTAAAACAGTGCAATCGTTGACAACCAGATGAAGTGCGCTAGAAATGTTCAATACCTATCTGTCCCAAGTTTGGAGTACTGGCACTTTTCTGCTTTAAATTATTCGGCTCCATGGCTTCCAAAGCAAACTGAGTCGCGCCAAGCGAACTCGATTTAGAAAGGTTAGTACGCCTGTAGCCTGCAGAGAAAATTATTTGTTAAAAGCGAAAGCAAAGTAAAGCCATTGTCGATAATAAACTACTCCCTGATAAATTACTTGCATTTAATAATGTTATGTTAATTAAGCAATCTAAAAAAATATTTTTGTTCAATTCATAATACATTCTGTTGACAGACAAATTCAACATTTACATATCAATACACGCCAATGTTCCATGCTTCTAAGACAATTTACTAAGACACCACGATATAAAAAGTGCTTCTTAGGAAGAGTGAAAAACCAAAGTTGAGGATTAGGGGTTAGTGACAAGCAGGAGGGGATTAGGTACTGAATATGTTAAAACAGGAACTGACACAGTAGATATGATTCAAGGGAGAGAAGTTAACAAAACAACGCCAAATTGAAACACCAATTATGACTGAAATAAATGAACTTTATTACTCAATAGAAGAACAAAGAGGAAGAAACGAAGGGTAGCGGATGTGAAAGATGCAGAATGCAGATGATGAAAAAGAAGGGAGGGTGAAACCACAATAACAACATTCGATGCATTAATAATGCTGCTATAATCAACATCTTCATCTAACATGTCTTAACATAGCCCATGGTTGATCAAAAACTATGTTCTTGTGAAAAAACAATAATAAAGTTAACAAAGCAGGATTGTACACTAAAACAAGAGTGCATGTGCCAACATCAATATAAACCTAATTACATTTTTAAAAGTTTTTAAAATTAGCAGTTATACATAATTCTACAGTAATGGGTAGCTAAATATTTGTACACGTTCATACTTAATGTTTGTAGTCTTAAATTTAAGAAGAAATTTATTAATTGAACACATGATTGATGACCAGATTTAACAGGCAAATAATTTCACATTTAAGTTACTTCTTGAAAAATCACTTTTTAAATATAATTTAACAAAAAAAGAAAAAATACCAATAAAATTCCACATGTTTGGATGAGCCTACATTCATCCTTCTAAGTTAATTGAAAATTAAACATCCTGAATTCACAAACATCTGATAATGGTAACTGATGCACAGTGTCACACATTTAATGATGATTTAAAGATTGCCCGCTTTAAAAGTGACCTTGGCGACCTAGGCCTAGCCTAAGTTTGGTTTACGTTCAGATATGAAGATAAGTCGGTTTGAGCTGACTTTAAAGTCGGACTAAATTTAGGTTGGCTCTGGGCCATCTTAAAATTTATGTTCACACTTGAAAAAAGGTGACCCTGAGGCAGCCCAGAGCCAACATGTGATTAAAAGACACCTGTGAATCAGACATCTGTGAATACGACACCTGTGTATCTGACACCTGTATTACATTGTTTTCATGTACGTACCCATGCCATTGTCTGTTTTTTCTGCTGGTTCATTCACTTCAGGGGTCGGTGCAATAGGCCCTGATGTTGACACCCGGATGACAGGACTATCTGTTGAGGAGTTTGACTTCCTCTTATCTACAGGTTCGTTGACTTCACTGCTTGAGTCAGTTTTTTCTGATCGGTTCTCAAGCCCAGTTTTTGATAGTGGATGCCCTGTTTGAATAAAATCAGTTGGACTCATAACCGAATCTTCCTGGTCTGGTTCTTCTATCAAATTATTCTACAATAAAAAAATGTAAAGAAATTCTTGATATTATGTCCGTTTTATGTTGAAGTTGAGTCAGGTGGTGTTGCACTGTGGCTGTCCCAGGGCCAGCCCAAATTTCCGATTTCCAGTTGAAATAGGGACCAATAAAGAATTATTTTTATTATCTTGAAAAAATAATTTTGATTGCTAAACAAGGTATAATAAGGTATTGCCTTAGTCATAACCTAGTCAGTTATATAATTTAAAAAAAACATGTATTGTAACAAATTTTGCAATTCATGATCAACATACCATCAACATGGTATCCTCGAGGGCTTTGAGCTGCGCCTCGCGTTTCGAAATCTCGTCCTGATATGCGATTGGATTCTCTAAAGCAGCGATGAAGTCGTTCAGGCCTTTTGGTACGTAATCTTTGACTTTGATGTACACAAACAAGGTTGGCAACATAAGGGGCTGGTTGGACTCATTCTTCAGTGGTATATGGTGAAATCCTATCAGAAGCAAATAAGGCAGTATTTTTATAATATTATAAGACAATAATATTAACAATAACAAATATAAACAAGAATCATTATCATAATCAGATTGATTCTGAATTCAATATTATGGTTAGGAGTATCACTTGGAAGTCTGGAACCAATATTGACATACATTCATTTTGTCTCCTCTTTATGATATGTGTTTTGTCCATTAGTATTTTTCAGATGATTTAAGAAAGTATATTAACAGATATTTCTGAAGGGTGGGATTTTTAGCTCTGATTAGGAGCTCTAGGAGTACCTTGCTGATTGACTGTTGGATCTTTTTTTGTATGGGTGGCTGTCAGGGTCACTTGAATCTCATCGAAACTTTCAAGGTTACGAGAATTTGTTTAGTTTCCTTATGTGAGCTAAGTATTAAAAGTAGTATGTCATTTTTTGTTTTACTAAAGTTTGATAAGCTATGTGTATTTTATATTTTTGTGTATTGTATTATTAAGTATGTCTTTCCTTCTGTTGAGGGGGGGGGGGGTTAATTAAAACCTATTTAACTGTATATTATTTAAATTTATAAGGTAATAGGAAGTGGTACAGTATTATATAGGATAAAGAATAAATTTTCATACATATCCTTTCCTATTCCTCGTAATGAAGTCATGATATTATACATTATTACATAATGTATGCTCTGTTACCATTATAGCTAATTTTCAATGTCTCACCTGGTCTAATACTCTTGACAGGTAAAATTCTGTGGCCAACGAATTTGCCACTTTCCTCAAACACTGCAATTCTGATATTGGTAAGTTCTGGCATTAATACCTGAAAGAAATAATAAAACTAATTATTATTATAGTCATTATTACCTTTAAGCAAGTTGCTCTATATCATTACCATTGCCACCTCCTTGCCACCTATATCAACAACCTTGTCACCCTCCACATCACCAACCTCGTCGCAAACACTATCACTGCCGCCACCATCCACCATCATCATCAACATCATCATCATCACATCTTAATTCACTAAAACTTAATAAAAGTTACAAATAACATTACAAACCTTTTCTACAGTGAAGGTGCCTTCTTCATAGGTGGGACAGATACCATTACTAGATGTTGATTTTACTTTGTGTTCTCGACGATGGGTGTCAAAGGGCAAACCAAAGATATCAACTTCTACATAGGAGTTCACTCTCTTATCACTTATAAATTGGCCTGATATAATCTTGAAAAAAAACAAGTTGAAACTTTATTTAATAACCACTACCACTAAGTTAATAAGGAGGAGTGATGCCAAAAAATATTGTTGCACCTCCTCTTCCAGATTTATTTATTTATTTATTTATAATCTCATTAAACAGCGGGAAACCGGCCACTTACACAATAGAACTTAAAAGCTAAAATATAAATGAGATGCCCCAAACTAGAAATTTCTTTAGCTCCAGCTCACTTTCCACCAACTCCCAAGACATATAGTGATAGCATAGTCAGGAAGGCACAAGCTAACTCAAAGACATACCTTGATTTGTAATGTGGAAGGCACGACCCCATCCATTGGCTTCTCTACGAATGGGTCAAATCGTTTGTTCTTTAGTCTCATGATGTGTGGCTTTAGGATATAACCAGTCCTTCCATTGTAATTGAAGATTCCCATGTTTAACTGCATTGGAAGATCTACAGTCAGGAGACAAAGTCCATTAGTATATTAAGATTCAGTCTAACTATATGATACAGATTTTATTTTATTTTATTTGTTATTTTGCTAATCTATAATATTCTGGTCTAAAAGAAATTTGGGTCATACTAAGCCACAAAAACCCTACCCCATGAATCCTACCAGGGATTTTTATTCTGGGGCCCTGACCGAAGTTCTAGTCAGCCACTTGGTTCGGACACCCTGTCAGACAAATTTCTAGAACCATCGCTCTAAACAACAGTAGTAGCTGGGTATAATTAAACCAGAGACATGTGTCAGATGTTAAGAGTGCTAAACTTCATTACCATGGTGACATACCTAAAGTTTGGAAGTTCAAAGCTACAAGCTGGCATCCAACATTCCAGAAAATCTAGCAGTTGAGAAAGAAATTATTTAAAGTTATTTATGAAAATATGCAAACACCATGCACAGGCTAGTTAAAAAAGAGCCACTATATCATAAGTATGTAAGATATTAGTTACAGAGCATTAAGAATGGTTATTCAAATGCAGCTTTGAAAATTAAACAAAATTTGAGAGACAAATGTAAATAAACTAACTTTCATAAAGCAACAGATTAGCATGCAATTTTAACCTACTACCACATATGTCTGTATCGAATCGCTACTGCTGTGCCAACCGCGCTCACACATTGTCAACATATGCAGAAATTAGACTGGTATCCATAAAACCACTACATGACAGTGTTCAGTGGTGCTGATTTGGAATGACTGAGTTGGGGAAAGTTGTGGAAACACTAGACGGTTTAGTGATTTTACGCAGCATTCAACGATGCCGATAAATTGGTTGAACTGGGAAGCCTTCCAGTTGAGTTAAGCGACAGTTTAGTGACTTTATGCAGCATTTAGTGATGCTGATTAGTCGATTGAAACAGGAAGCCGATTGAGTCGGGAGAAAGCTGTGGAAACACTTTAGCGACAGCTTAGCGATTTTGCGAAAATTAGGCGTTATCTCACACTTGTCGGTGCTCGTTCATTGATGTGGCGAATAATCGCGAATAATGGATTCTAGTTGCTGTAGTTGACTGGAACAGCCATAGCGGGGTCACCACGTGCAGGTTAACAGCATGACCCCTGTCGGTGCTTATTCTTTATCATGCAGTAGATTATGAGCAATGAACCGTAACATAAACAAAAAGCAAATGCAGATTAATATGAATTTACCTGTGGCATATAGTTACTGGAATCAACCCTGGTGCCTTTGGGGTATATACGACTCAACTGTCTTTTGTTGTAGCTGATAACTGTTAAGGTTAAAACATTATATTTTTTCATATTCTCTTTCATTAAAACAATATAATTTTTAGTGAATATGATGATCTGATTAATGGGCTATAAATTGATTTACATTGATTGATTGATTGATTGAGTGATCGATTAGTTAATTGATCGATTGATTGATTGATTGATTGATTTTTTTTTTTTAGTCTTGTTATGGTGTGGTCAGGTGGGGTTTTTGTTTTGTTTTATTGTCTCTGTGAATTTGTGCTTTTTATTCACTGTATTTTTTAATGTAAATTATTTTTAAGTGACATTTTATAAATATATATTATATTTATACATTTTGACTTTGGTTGGCGTATGTGATGAACTTCCTCGATTCAGTGCCATTGGCTGCCAAGAAATTTTAGTTTGCCACTATTTTTATATGTTTTTTAAAAATATAAAAGATACCAATATTGATTGATTGATTGAATTTCACAGAGTTTGAATACTGATTGATTTTACACTAATGAATTGGGTGTTGGTGGGTGCTCAGTTCATTTGTTTTACTAGTTTTCAGCAGCATCTGTCTACCCAACTTGATTTGCCAGTGGGCTATAAAGCTGCAATTAACCTTTGACATATCTATTATTCTTAATAAGGATACTTGGCAAACTCTTCAGGTTTCAACTTGACGTGACCCATTGCAGCACTCTCAACTCCCGAAAAGATTTCATAATGATGGTTCTTCTCTGAAAAATAAGAACATAATAAACCATTAATAATGCATACCCATCTCCATAGAAACCATCAACTAATGATAAACAAACAAAATATAAGCTTAAGCATGTCAAAGACAGTGGCATATCTGCAGGGGGGCTTAGGGTGCATGCTTGCCCCATCTCAAAATTTCAATCCCTCACAAGAAGTTTGCCCAGTTAAAAAACTGCACACAAGTAGTTTAATATCATCTTATAGAACCTTTTTTTGCCAGCTAATGCCCATTAACTTAATCAAACCCCACTTATAAGCTTTCCTCCATCATCCCCCTCCCCCATGCCAACACTCCTAGATACGTGACAAATCAAGCACAGCAATGCACGATTAGGACTTACTTTCAAAAGCTTCAAACGAATGGAAGTGCACTGGCTGGATGTAGTTGACGAGAGCGGACATTTCTTCTCCAGCCTCGGACTCCTTACCAGCTGTACCTTGCTCTTGTTTCTTAGTTATGTCATCCTCATCCTCACTCTCCGAGTCTACAAGCTCCTCTGGGTTCTCGGTTGTGGATTTCTCATCTAGAATATAGATAAAAATTAATAAACAAACACAATTTTGGTAAATACGGCAAACACAACTCAAGAACGTCTTACAACATGTTAAGAAATTAGCTCTCATTGGTATTTAATAAACTATATTTCAAAATGATAATGAAAATGATTTAATTTTTTTTTTTCTGTACAAATACATTCTGTTTCACTCCATATAATATAATGAATAGTACTACTCATGGTCATCAACAGTGCATCTAGTGGAAGGGATGTATGGGGGGCATCTAGTGGATGTATGGGGGGTGGAAGGGATGTATGGGGGGTGGAAGGGATGTATGGGGGGCATAAGGCCAAAAATACGAGGCTTGCCATCGCAAAACCAGCATACGGTCATTAAATGTTAAAACTGAGTAATTGGTATAAGAATGGAGCAGTATTGTATACTTTAGTACAGAGAAACCATAATACTTTTTATCATAAATTTCGCAATAGTAAGTCAACATTTTAAAGCTTACAATGTAGAGAATAGGAATAAATTAAAAAGTAAATTGTCATTTCTTAGTCAATGATGCTGGTTTTAGGAATGCAAGTCTCATATTTGACACCAAGGCTGCCTAACTATAAATATGCTGAGGAGAATAATTACCATTCCCTGCTATACAACTAGATATGATACTGAGCATCCTCCCTACCACTTTCAGATATTTTTTATATTTTATATAACTTATAAGATAACTACTAGATAGTAAATCATTTGCTAATCATCTAGGTTTTACAATTATTTTCAAGAGTGCAAAAAACATTTTAATATAAAATAAACCAAATTAGGGATACAATTATAAGTTGATTGCAAATGATCATCTAACCTTCATCAGGGTTTGTTGTGATGCTTCCGCTGGTTGAATCATATGACTCCTGCTCATTTATCTTAGCAAGACCATTCTGACGTTGAAGGCGCTTTACCTGTCCTGCAATCAAAACCATCAAAAATTAGTTTCAAATGAAAGAATGTGTTTGTATAAGTAGCAGAGCATAAAAAATGGAGTCCAGATGTAGTATGGTAGTTAAGTGTCTTGCCTACGAATTCCAGGATTCTAGGTTGGAGTCTAAGGCTACTCTTAAGCTAAATGCAATACTAAGATGGCTAGATAAATAAGCGTAGGCAGTTTGCATAAGCTCCTATAATTCTTTGATCTAAGATACAGTATTTTTTAAGCGTAGGTTGATAAATCCTTGGCCAGGATTTTTCTTCATGGCTAATGATTTAAAATGGTTATCTATAATTTTAACAGATAACCTTGGTCATCTTTCAATTGGCAATTTTCATTTGGGTGTAAATTAAATTTCTTTCTTTTCTATTTCTAAGGAGCTGAATGTGCAAAAAGCAGCTTAATATGATAGAGATTCTGATGGACAGGTGGCACTAATGTTTCTACTGGACGTCTCCGCTAAAGCCACGCCCCTTGGATATGGTTGCTAAGGTCCCACATATAGGACAAGCACGTTTTCCTGGCCCTGTTTTGATTGATCATTTGTTCAATTCGATTGACACTTGGGAAAGGTCTATTTACTATGATTAGTACAATTAATGTATGTTATTGTAAAGGAACCACAGGTGGCAGCTAATAGACTATATTCCTTATCATCTACTGAATCTTCTTTAGGTATATTAATCTATTTCTTAATTTTTACAATGAATGAGAAATCCATGCAAGATTTTACTAATGAGATATACAGTAGATGAAGATTAAATAATTATACAAAAGATGATAATATTTACTCATGTAAAGGCTGAAACATAATGAATATTCATTTAAACTGTATGAATTATACATAAAGTTAGATGCCTTCACCTGTGACAGTGAAAATATAACTTGATTGTTATTTAAAATATATAAATATTAATGATGAACATTTTTAACAGGGTACACAAAAATATAAGCCACTATTATATTGTGTTCTGAAATATAAACAAACATCATTAAAGAACAGAATGATATTACATAAAATATCAACAATTCATGCAATATCTAAGTTGTTTGAAATTCAATCATCAATTTTGAAATTAAGCATGTAATTTAAATAAATATTAGTACATATGATTGATTTACATTAGGATTAATAGAAGCTAGTCTACAAAATAAAACCATACCAAAAGAAATAAATAAAAAAACTTGACTAAACTACAATTTTGAAGGAAAAGAAAAATCAGTATTAAAAGCATATTAACTCTTACAAATCAAAAGTTAAGAGATCTACAATTATTTACTAAATTAATCTAGAAAACCTTTTTTACTAATATTATTATTGATATTATGTTTAAACCAACTAAAGGCAAAGCTGATTCCAATGTTTGTTAGTGGTAATCATTCTTCATCGAATCTAAAATGTAAAGCACAACTTAAAATTATTCAAAAAATTAATAACCCACTACCAGAGCAGTACACTATTTGCGAAACTTATGAGCTTCTATACCATCTCATCAAAATGTCTATAAGCTAAGTTTTATTTCAGGACACAACATTTCTCTTTGCATCCTTGTAAAAAAATCTTTCATACGTAACAATTTATCACTTGCAGTGGTGGGCCCAGGGGTGGAAAAGAAAGGAGTGTTCTATTCTGGCAACAGTCACAACCCCACCCTAACCCCCTCAGACATCCTCCACACCTACCTAGGTCATAAATTAACGCTAGCATTTGTTTTTTTTTTCAACACTGGCAGGATTATGTTTGATTGTAGATAAAATTTTGATTACCTGTATTAATATTTATAGTTAGATTATACTGAATTAGATAATGATGATATAATAATAGCAGAAGTACTTAAATTTAGATTATATAACATAATAATGATATAGTAGTAATCTATTAATGTAAGATGGATACCCTGAACTCCCCTGAATTTTATGTGCAAGATGGTTGAGCCCGCATCAGTAGGAATTATTGTCTCATTTGTTATATAGTGCATAATGTCAATAATAATGCCATCTGTGATATCCCATTAAGAGTGGTGGAATGAAAAAATTAATAAGTGTTGAGTCTTAAATCTTAAAAACAGTTCTGAAATTAATAAAGTTCAGTGATTCAATTGAATTTTATATTCATGTTAGGAAATGACTTTTAGTTCTATTTTCTTCAACTGTATATACAATGTATATTTTTCTTTTGTCAATCATTAACTGATTTGTCAATTGATTGTTATTCTTTTTTTCACCATAAATTAGCCAACACAGGAAATGTGTATATTGTTAGGATAAGGAAGAAAAATGGTTGGAAATTGAGAGGGAGGGAATTGGAATAAATGAAATTTGTTAAAAACTTCAATTATGCATGCAGTTGTCTAATATCTACTTCTTTTATAAATGAAAATTTCTGATTGGTGGATAGAGAAACAAAAATATAAGTCTGGCTCTAAATCAACCAATCACTGTTAGTAGGCATCTTTTTAAGTAGGAGCGTTATACCAAGTGCTTTAAAATCATTCTGTTGTGATAATCCATTCCATTGGTCAATAAGGCATTCTGAGAATGAATCAGCAAGTTTACCTTTAGGGAGCAAGTCTGGGTCCACGGAGCCGGTCAGGTGACAAGGTAATGAGCCTCGTCTCACTGTGTAAGTACACACAACATTATGCTTACATTTATCAACAATATCAAACTCAAGCGTAAAAAAAAACATTAATTAAACACACCTAAATACACACTGTACACAAATGTTATGTAATAAAAAACATTGGAAAAGAAATAATGAAAGGTTGATAATTGAATAGTTGTTTTCTAAATTTAATGACCTGTTAATTAAAAATGAAATCAAACTTACATGGAGTCGATGATAAAACATGAAACACAGAAAATATACATCAATTCTAGTCTAATTCTATTATGTTATTGCTATATGTTATCAGTGGTGGCGCAAGAGATCCCCTAACAAGTGGTCAATGTCTCTGGCAGGGAATCAACACCCAACTCAACCCCACCATATTTGGGGCTTAGGTGAGCAAATATGCAAAATAAGCACTAAGATGCCTGGAAATGGCACTATCAGACAGTAAAAGTGGTCTGTATTTTAAACCAGATACCCACCAAAATTGATTAGGTTCTTCCCGGGCAGGGGATCAGGCTTCCCCAAAAGGATTTTGTGCCACCACTGTATGTTATACTGCAATACAGGTATTGTTACATTCTAAATGCAAGATATCATGCACTGTATAAGCTATAGGAAGCGCTTAGGGTGCTAATTACAAGCTTGGGTATCTTGGCCATCTATTGGAGGGGTGTGAATTTTGCAGGCAAGGTTGTTATTCAGAAAAATTAATATTTTGCCTTTAAAACACTTCACTTCATTCCCTTTGATGTTTAATTATAATCTGTAATTCAACTACAAACACCTGGTTCTTGTAAAGTTGATAAAACAGAATATTTATTCGTATTCTTTTGCACACTATGGATAATTATCAAGGAATTAGCGCTTACAACATGCCTAAAAAAAGCATGCCAAAGCAATAATTACAAGTAGCTAAGCACTATAATTAAAACTTTGGAATAGTAGGAGGTGGCGGTGTGGATGGGTCTGGGCCTTTGTTAAAGGAGAGCAGTAATTTGAGAGGCGCTAATTATAGCTGATACAGTATACACGGAATGCTAATGTACCTTTGGACATGTACCAAGCATGAACTATTTATAAATGTATTATCTATAACAATGTATTTTATGTGCATTGGATTGAATGTTAAGATATGTATATATTTTGATATCATTGCTGACTACTTAATATGATTATATAAAACATATATGTATTAATTTGATGTATGACAGATATTTTGTATACCTATATATGTATTGTATGCTTTCCCGAAATGACTAAACACCCATGGACATGTAACTTAAATTTTCCCTATTTCCGTAAGATATTTAGCAGTCTTTAGGTATATAATACATTATATAACTAAAACAACAGATTTTTAATGTGTTTTTATAGTTTTTGCAATCTTTAATTCTTGATAATTACTATTTTTGCTAAATTTTCAATGTATAACTTTTGCTTTTTGTATGAACCGGCAGTTTATAAAGTGAATGTAATTTTAAGTGTATTCTGATAAAACATTTGTGAATAAATGATGTGTATCCTTGATGAATGAAGACGAACGTAGCAAGGATTAATTTGACATCAGTGACGGATCCAGAAATTTGAAATGGAGGGGACCCAGAGAGGGACTTTCACAGATGAAGGGTCTATACTACCTCAGCCCCACAATGGTTGGGGCTGAGGTAAGGAAATTATAGCACCTCTAGATGGTCGGAAATGGTACTCAAAATAAGAGTATGATTATCCTTCTCTCAAATGTTTTTTTTTAATTTTAAAAAATTTATTGGGGGGGGGGCAGGCTGGCTACCCACCCCCACCCCTCCTTGAATCCGCCACTGTACATGCTAAGCATCTAACTACCTTCTGAAATGGCATCCTCCTCCTGAATCACGTTGGAGAAAGCACTATTAGACATGTTACTAAGACGAGGATTTTTTCTTCCTGTATAACAAAGATTGCATGCACATGTTTATAAGAACAAAAAGTATGTTAATCTCAGGCTCGCGAATTGGAAAGAAATGTTTGATATGTTGTACAACTGCTTTTTCTAAGACAAAGAAAGCATATTTGACAAAAAAAAAACTTTTGATCAGTTAATGAGATACAAAGTTTTGAATATTTAAAAACTGAGGAAAAAAAGAGGTGTAACAACCCTTTTTTCCACCTTTTCCCTAGTTTTTAAATATTCAAAAATCTGTATCTCATTAACCGCTCGCAAGTTTTTTGTGAAATATGCTGTTTTTGTCTTTAAAAAATCAGATGTACAGCATAATATTTTTCCTCTGGAGCCTGACTTTAACAACGTTTATTTTATTTAATATCAACTAGTATAAAACTACAATGTAGAAACAGTATTAAAGTACAACTCCAGGCAAATGAGACAAATGCTAAATATGTTTTTAAATGGACATGTCACTACAAATATCATTCAATATAATTTATGAATCTACGTAAACAGTTTTATTTATGGATCCCTTAATGGGCAGGCAAAATCTTTTCTCGTGTTACGAAGATGAGAATTTTTTCTTCCTGAATAAAAAAGATTGCATGCATATATTTATAAGAACCTAAAGTATTTTGAAAGTAATGCAGAATATATTGAAATATTTTTTTTAAATGGACATTTTACTACAAATATCATTTAATATAAAATAATTTATGAATATATTTCAGGAAGAAAAAGTTTATTTTATTTCAGTCAGCATAAAACTACAATATAGAAAAAGTATTAAAAGTACTAATACAGGCAGTTATGATACATAAATGAAAAAAAAAAGTTACATTAAACATTTTTTTTTAAATATGACAATTAAAATTTTGACAATTTATAGAGATATGCAAAGAATATACAACAGTGTCATTTATGCATCTCTTAACTGGTGAACAAAGTATTTTTTTTTATTTACAAAAAAATAAAATAATAACATATTCAATATACATTTTAACAATTGAAATTTTGTATGTAATTTTTTAATTATTTATAGCTTACATAATATATCTTTACAAATATTCAAGTTCTTAACAAGATTAAATCGCAAAAGATTCTAAAAATGCAATTAATATTTGACGGTTAGTGATGAGGTTAATGATTTGTGTAGAGGCGTATTTTACCTTGATCTAAGGACATGGTTTTTTGTATCATGGGAACACTTTTTCGAGTCTTTTGATCTGGTGGAAAAAATTAATACACATACAAAATTATCCTCATTTTGCAGACACATAACAAAAAAAGAGAGAACATTGATATTTGCTAATCAGAATAAGAACTAAACAATTATTACAAATGCACACACCTGGTGTCTGCTAAAGAAGCAGAATAATTTCACAACCAAGTAACACATTTTCACACATAAGTGGTATTAACTGTTTTGTACCACGTGAGGGTGTTTTAAATTACACACAGTGTCAACTTTGGAACTGAATATGACAGTACTGAAATTGACTTGAAATACTATAATCTTAATTCAGAAGAAGTTTGAATAAGCAGATGATGATGTTGAAAACAGTAATGATCATGATGATGTTGAAGAATATATTGACGTTGATGGTTATGTAATGATGATGACAATAATAATAATTATGAATGATAGTGATCACATTATGTTGATAAGGTTGATAATAAAGATGATAATGATACCACTGACAATAATTTTTATGGCAATATTGTTGAAGATTATGTTGATGAAAATGATAATGATGATAATGTTAATTATGCTGATGACAATAAGCCTATCAAAAAAATTGTGTTGTCCAACTGCAATAACAATTGGAAATTAGGGACGGTTTGTCAAGAATTTAAAATTTCTTCCGTAAGTTGAGGCCTAACTCTAGAGTTGATGGATTTCCATCTCTCACTCCATGTTTTTGGCTAATAAAATGGGCTAAAAATATCGATAAAGGTATCAGTTTAATTAATTAAAGATTAAACATACACTTTTTGAACAAGTGTGTCTGACTCCTCTTTAGTAAAATTTGACCAGATATTGGGTCAAACAATAATGTTGACTGCAAATGATAAAAGTATTTCAGGCCCCTCCATGGGAAAAACTCCAAAAGGTTGATTATTGAAAATTTTCTGATAACGAATAACTAATTACTTTTCAGTTCAAATATTGATTTAGTTTTTTAGCTATTTACAAACTGTATATATTTAAGATAATGATGGTCCAATGAATAATTAGATGATTACACAGTAACAATCACTAAGCATTTACTGTGTATACACCATTTTCGCTAAATTTGAAATGAAAATTTTCGATAACCTGGCAACTACCACTATGGGGACATCCAGAGGCATAGGCATTTCACTGTACATAGTTTACAGCATTTATCTGTGCTGTGACTGGTGAACAACCTTCTTGATGTTGTGAGTTTGCCTAAGCCAGTCTTTGAAAACAAAACGGCCAAAACAAAAAAAAAAAGAAGAGAAAATAGGGGCACATAAAACCTCCAGTTTTTTTTTTGTTTTTTTTTTTGTAGAGGTGCTCAAAAAAAAAATGTGAATGGGAAAAAAGAAATCAACAATATGCTCTGGCTGGATGTCCTCCTGTGAAAAGTTGCAAAACATTGTTGGCACTGTTTCGAAATAAACCATATAAAATGGTGTCTAGGTATCACCACTTGCTAATGTCATGCTTCTTCAGAAAATCAGCATTGAGAGAAAACTAATGATCACTGATAACAACATAAAGAGAAAAACAGATTCTGAAAATGAAATAGAAAATAATGAGATTCAATGGCGACAAAGCAGAGATGTGACAGTTCTTTAAAACACTGAAAGCAAAAAACAATAATGGTTACAAAAACAATGAATGGTAAAAGTTGAAGGACACATGAGGGCAGTGTTGCAATTAACATAAGTCTTGCCTCTGCTGGCTTCTTCTTCAGGCTTCATAATGATTACTGAGTCCGATAAACATTTTTGGCGGCGAAGTTGGGCCGGTGAGATCGTCTGCACAAGCCTAGGCTTCGAGCAACTTGAGAAATGCATTGAGATGCGTTGATCGGTCATCTCAGTTGATAACTTTCGTGATCCCTTCACAGATAAAGTCCTACTTCGTCTGGATCCTACCGTTACCATGCAAGTACATTATTAAAAGGATATACATTTTCTAATCTTTTTAACCTTAATAACAAATATACCAGCATAGTACATTACCCTTAACATTTATCAATCTACATGATTCCATCTACAATCAATTAAATTGGAAGGGGCACAACATTCTTTCACTATAAGTTGGAATAAAAAGTATGGGGCAGAATTTAAATGTACCTGATTTTCTTTCTTCTGGTTGTACTGGCACTTTTTTCTTCTTATTCTTCACCAATATTTTACCCTTCAGTCGCTCAGGACTTGGCAATGGTTTACCAGGCTCCAACTATTATCAAAAAGAAAATTACTTAATCAAATTTTTAAAGTAATATTCAGCCAATGATTTGAGTAAAGTATAATCTGTATGTAAAACCTAAAATAAATATGGTTAAAAACTCTATAATTTATGATAGAATAAACAAATTAAAGAATAAAACATGTTAGACATAGGACACAACGTCCCGGCTATCTATATTGATTGAATGTCATGCGGCAGAGTTGTCACTTGGCAACAAACGCTGAATCAGTTCGCAGAATAAAAGCTATTTTGATAACAGCGATTATTAACAGCAAAAGCTAGATTTACTAAGTTAAATAAATAATAAATAAACTAAATAAATTACATTACTTTGATAACAAAAGTTGAGAACTGAAGCCAAAGGTAAAGTAGTCATATGTTTAAAACCTCCCAATTTAAATTATCATGCAATCTCCTGGTCTCCCAAATTTTATAAAATTCTTCCGAATTTTCAGAAAAGAACCCCAAATAATTATTTAGTGGCTTTTTGCGACCAATTATTGAGTATTTCTGTGTCAATGTTTGTTTTGTGCACCATTTATCAATGATGTCGGTGTACAAATGCTTTCCAAGTGTTACTGACCGCAAGGGAAATAAGCCCACAAAGCTGTTATCGTTTAATATCCAGGAAAATTTTTTTCATATCTATTTAATTTACAATTTTAAGTTTTATATTCATATTTTGTAGTATTTAAGTGATTCTCCGAATAAATTCAAATCATTTAATCAAATCAAATATCAGAATGCACGCATGAAAAAAATCATATTTTCAAAAATTTTCGGGGGTGGGGTGCACTTCACCAAAAGACCTCTAATCTCCTGAATTTTGTGTTACAGTGGTTGGAATGTATTTTAGATTACGGTAGCTAAACTACTGTGTTCTTTTGATGATAAATAAATTACCTCATTCCATACTGATTGCAACATGAGTAAAATCTATCTGATACAACTAAGAATGTGTGCTATATAGTTAAATTAAACTATGACATAATTAATATACCGACACAGAATCAATTAACCAATTACATGGTACAGTACATAACTGATATAATATGAAGACAACTTTCAGTACCTACGGTGTTTACTGTTGTTTAATAGCAAACTTCAGTATTTTGTGGGTCTCCATGCAGTTAACTATGTTAAATTTTATTTTATAAATATGTGTTAAAAATAAAATTTTACTTGTTTCTTCATTCTTAAAATAAATGAATTATGATAAATATTTAAAAACTGACTAACGGGATAATCTTCCAAGGACTCAGTGAGTAAAGAATCTCCAAATATCTCCTTGCAATACTGCGCCATTTTTGCTTGCTGTCGTTGTGAACAATGGTTCTCGAAACTCAGGATAACTGGGTAGTCAGAGGTCTTAAAGGCTGCATCATTGATTGCTTCAATTACCTCCTGAGAACAAAATTAGTATTTTAAGAAAAACCAGGAAGTAGAATAAAATGCATAAACATAACTTCCTCATTCTATTCTATATTAAATTTTCATTTTTAGAATAACACTTTTAATTCTCCTTTTCAAAATGTGTTTTTACTAAAGGGTTTTGTTTATTATATCATTCCATAGCTTGAATACCACCACATACTCTCCTTTCTTCTTTCCATCATCATTATCTTACTTTTATTATCATCGTCCTTAATTTCATGATTGTTACTGAAATTTTTATTTTTATTGCAAGCAAGACTAGACAACAAATGATTTTCTTCTTTCAAAAAAATTATCTTACCCTGAAATTTATATCTGTGCACATGGTGTAGCCATGAGTAATGATGGGCTCTTCATTAGGACTAGGGCCGTCCCAACAATCCAATTCAATGCATCGACAACCAGACAACAATACCTGACGATACATCTCAACGGAAGAACGACCTGTAAACTGGTGACCTTTAAGTAGAAATTACAGATAATTACGACTGTTGCAAGTACAAGCAGTCTGGCATAGTGGCAACAGGTTTTTTTGCCCAGCTTCCCGGTCGGGCTAGTACATCTTGCGTATGTCTTTAAGCAAGACACTTTATTTAAATTTACCTAGCTTAGTTTACCTAGCTGTTATTAATGGATACCAACAAATAGCTGGGTGTAGCCTGTGATGGACTAGCACCCATCCAGGTGTAGTATCCGAATCTGATCCGCTACACACCACATATACCGGGAATAAGCTCCCGCCTGATTCACTTTTTTATGATTGTTGTAAGAACAATTCTAAACAGAAATGATACTATTTCAATTTAGTATCATTTATATCATTTTTTAGAATTGTAAGAACCAATCTAAATAGAAATGATACTAAAAAGAACAATTCTAAACAGAAATGATATTAAAAAGATCAATTCTAAACAGAAATGATACTACAGAAATGATACTAAATTGAAATAGTACTGACCAAAAGAAAGGTATGAAGGAATAGTATTAAAATAGAACATCATTTATTATTGAATTTGATTAACACTAAGAATAACCTATGTAGGTCTGAATTTCCAGTGGGTTCCTACTGTGGTTATTTGGCAGTACACCAGCAGACAATCCCAAACTCGTCCCGAAGACCGTTCTGCGTTCTTTAAAATACTAACCTGTTAGATATGTGTTGTGACTGCTATTAATGAAGTAATGACACAAGGAATGGTCCATATCCTGGTGTATCGTCAGTGTCTCTGGATCTACCACCAAATTTTCAGAGCTCAGAAGATAACGAGACAAGCCATCTACTGATAAATGACCTACAACAGAAATTTTTCAAAATGAATTAATTAATGAATGTTTTAATTATATTTGTTTCATTCCAATATACTCCATATAGCATGTATAAATGGGTATCTAACCTTGTAAAAAGTAGATCGGATTGGATTATTCGGCATAAACACCAAAAATAACTCATGAAAGTCCGAAAGAAGACTTATTTCCAGTGGGGTCCTTCTGGTGATGATTTGGTTGTACACCAGGAGACAATCCTGTACTCTTTTCCAAAGGATATAGTACTGCTTTCTTTAACATGGACCATATTGCACACAGTACCAACAGTTTAAATGTCTAATATCCAAAAGACTATACAATACTGACATTTGCATTTCAGTCCTCTTGCTGAGACACAAAGAGAGCAGCGTTGGGAATTGAACCAGAGATCAAGAGATCTCCACGTTCAGTGCAAACACAGTGGCTACCACCAGTTCAGCTAACTTAGCTAAGCTGCTCTCTAAATGTGAATGGCTTTGGTCTGGTGCTTGGCTCACTGCATGACTAATTTCATGATCATACTAGATTTATTCTGACCAATTTGAAAATGACAGCAAACATAGACATCAGTGTCAAGAATCAAAATAGAGAAAATAGGTCAGGGACAGTTAAAAAAGTAATAACTAGGTCAATAATGGAATATTATGCATGTTTTAGGTTTTGGTTTAATACACTATTACAATAAGTAATTAAATTGTTAAAAAAATAAATCAATAACAACAATCTTATTTGAGAAAAGCTTAATGGTATATAGGATTTAGGCTCTTAAAATAGAATGTTCATAAAATTTTCATTTCATCTTATGCAATTATTTTAGAGTGCACTAAAAACACACTACTATTTTATTAATTATGCTTATAATATTAAAATTCAAGAATAAATATTAATGAGATCAGAATTTAAATTTGTTCACCTTTTTTTACAAAGCCTTTGTTAGGTTCGTATTTTTCAATAATTTCGTGGGCATACTCATTATCGCAGTATGGATAGAGAATCTCATTCAATCGTGGGTCCCGTTGCTCTTTGTTGAAAAAGTTCTTTACTTGCTCCGTTGTCAGATAAGGCTTAGCTTTTGCTCCCCTGTGAAAATAACAATATTTATGGGTTACAACATATTTCAATTAATTTAAAAATGCATTAAAAAAAGAAGATACTGGGATAATGCTATCGCATCTCATACAGATATTTTACTACAAGAGGTTTTCTTTTATATTTAATTTATTCTGAACAACTTTGAAGTAATTATTTTCAAAATCCTCTTCAAAAACAATCAAGAAATGCAGAAATAAAATTATTTCACATAAGAATAGGAAATTTGTATAGCATTTTCTACTATAGTTGTTGAACACAACACTTTCATCAGTTCATTTTGGTAATTTCCTTATGTTTCAAAACTGTGTAATTTGAGTAATAATAGTAGTACTTGTGATGGTAAAACCACATTGCAATGCTCCTTCTTTACCACAAGAGCTTAGAGAGGTTGTGGAAATACTGTACTACCAAAAAGGCTGTCATCAATCATACTACATATTTTTTTAATAGAAATTGAAACTGTACCCACTCTATAAATTGATTTTTTGACATTATAATGGTCAATGCAAAAAAAAAAAAATAAGTAGGAACAGTATAGTATAACAAGCCAGTTAATTGTCAAGAATATATATATCACTTTTAGGTGAAAGGTGATAGCCTAGCTATTTCATAGTTTGTAGTCACTTGACTTGAAACTTCCATACCACAGCATACAAATAAGCAAAGAATAGTAGCACTTTAAGTTGCTTAGTGGGCATTTATTTGCAAAAACAGATAGTGAAATTAATAGTATCTTGTTTTTACAATGTGCAATTTAGTTTCACATTTATTTTCATTATAACCACTAAATGCATATTCCAGAATACCAAACATATAAATAAAGTCTACAAAAACAGATGATGATGATGAGGATGAAAGTGACAGTGATAATGATGATGCTCCTGATGATAATGATGATAATTATGATGGTGATAATGATAATGATGATGAAAGTGATAATGATGGTGAATGTGATGATGATGACAATGGCGGTGGTGGTGATGGTGTTGACGATGATGATGATGATAAAGATGACAATGATGATGATTATGATGATCATAATAATATAGTGATCAAAAAATGATGGGGATGACACTTTTGATGACAGCAATATGACAATATAGTTGACAACAAATTTAACAGTGAAAATGTATGATGTAGAATATGAAAATGAGAACGACAACAGTACTCTTCTAATTTTCCTCCATGTATATTCTTGTTGGACTATAAATAACAAATTGTTTACCAAGTTCGAGTTATTGGAAGTTAGATTAAATTACAAAGGCAAGTCAATAAAGCATCACACTGTCACGCCATTGGGAATAAATTCTGTAGGAAGTATACTACACCTCTTTAAAATGATGACAAACACTTAATATCAGCAAGACAAGACAACCACTACACAACGTTTTATTATCAACATGATTTGTGTTTGTATTGATGTTAAGTGAGTGGTGTATAAAAAGACAAACCAAGTTCATAGTGTTACAAAATAAACACTAAATACTTGCCATTAATTGACCCACAATTACAATTATTGCAATTCTATAGTTGCAATATTAAGATTGACAGAAGTCAGCCAAATGTGATTCTACAGTTGCATGTTTGACCACAGTTAGTCAACGGTTTCCTAAATTTAATAATTTACAAATAAATAAAGGGAACACATCACTAGAAAATTTAAATATTTTATAACTATATAGCAAATTAAGATAATAATAATAGAGTACTACCTTTTTTTTAACATGAGAACTGTGATGATGGATTGATAACTGAGTTACAGAGGACCACCTATGGTAATGTTATCTCTAATACCTCCCCCCCCCCCACCACTTTCGCGCCCCTTCCCTTTTCGGACATCTCTGGATCTGCCCCGGTAGGAAAAACATATCCATGTGAAAAGATCAAAGTCATTCTACTATGTGATTTTCAAAAACAATACTTATTTAATACATGTTCACATCATTCCTCAAAGACAGGAACTAGAATGAACCATAGCATCGGGGTAACCCCTCCATACTATTCTGAAAACTGCAACAAGTTTTTACAAGCTCACAAGTGCCAGGAGTGTCTCAGAGCAGCATCGATATTAATCGCCCAAAAATATCTCTATACTTCCTATTAGTTTATCCTTTAGTCCTACATTTTGTTTGTCAAGTAGCCAAGCCTTTATGCTACATCTTCATATGAGAAGAATAGGCAATAAACATTACAAATTAAAGCGGATGATTAGCTCTGATATACAGACACACTTTTACCATTGGTTCCTGCTACTAAGTTTTTATCCAATCATTCATCCCTAAATTCTTATCCAATCATTCATCTGTAGTAATATGATCTTTTTTAAATAAAATTAAACAAATTACTTCTGACAAGAATGTTTTTTTTTTTTTGTCATCTTTAAAGTTAATAACCACATATCAATCATTGTTTCTGAGAGATATGCCCAGGTAATAATGATTACCATTCATGAGACAGAATAATTCATTTCCAGTCCTGGTATCACGCCCGATTAATTACGTTTTCTAGTTCTACAAAGATCCAAGGTTACTTTGAAATACTCCCTTAAGACAGATATCCACCAGATAAATATGTTCGCACAAAGCAAAAAATTGTCAAACTGTATGCATGCGCTGTTCCACTTTTATATAAGGTCAATCGCAAGATAGTACATTTGTTGTTTGCTTTAGCAAAAATTTTGAGCTCTACCAAATTTTAATTTGTGCGAAGTGTAATATGTGATGTGTAAATTGGAAAGGCATTCGTTTGAGGAAAAATTCTATTTATAGTATTTTGTAAACCTAGGACATACAAAGTAGTCTTCACAACATATAATCTGTTACATACTAAGTCTATCCTAAGGTTGATTACTTGTTCAATTGTACATTTTTTTTATGGATTTTTATTTTACATGGCTTTTAACATGGATAGAAAATATATATGTGTGTGATTACATAAAAGTCTATAAGAATATATAAACATTTTTTACATTTTTTTGTATGTGTGAATCAGGGTATTAGTCTACTAAATACATCTTTTCGTAGGCATTATATAACACCTAATTTATATAACACCTAATTTACAGGCCTTATGTAATCATTCTTATTTTGTTAAAGGTTTTAAGAATAAAATAAAGGTAAAAATCAAGACCGAAGCTTACATATCCTGGAAAACCTTGTCAATTTCTTGCCTGTTGAGCAGTCGCACATAGAAAGTAAAAAACTCCGCAAACGTGAACTTAGATGGACTTATCAATTCATCCTAGAAAAATAAAATTAGTAGTTGGTAATTAATAGTATGAAAGATCTAATTACATCACTGAATCTGTTTAGATCATTAAATTTAATCACAACATATAATCTGATAACATTTTTAATCCAATTTTTTTAACCTGATTAAATTACTGAATCTGATCATATTAATGAATCATCTGATCATATCACTGACTCTCTTACATCACTAAATATGATCACATCAATGAAGTTGATCATACTACTTTATATCTGATCATACTACTGAATTTGATCACATCACTGAGTATGATCATATCCCTATATCTGATCACATCACTCAATCTGATCATATCACTGAATCAATCAAATCACTGAATATGATCACATCACTGAATCCGATCATATTAACTCCGATCACCGAAATCATACCAGTATATCTGATAATACCACTGAAGCTTAGCACATCACTAAAGGTGATCAAATCCCTGAATCTGATCATAGCACTGAATATGATTACATCTGATTACACCACTAAATCTGATCATATCACTGAATCTCATCACACCACTAAATCTGATCACATCACTAAATCTGATCATATCACTGAATCTGATCACATTATTGAATATGATTGCATCAATAAATCTAATCACATCAGTTTTTAATCACATCTGAAAACAAAACTTTTTAAAAAATGGTTAGAATAATATTTACCCCTTAGGATTTAAAAAACATAAATAAATGATATATTCATATAATGATTTTAATTATGACTTGATAGTAATTTTCATGCTATTATTAGATTTTTTATTTCCAGTTGCAAGCACCGGCTGGCTGTGAACAGAATAAAATTAAATTCATAAATGTATACATTCAATCAATACATTTATAGCACACAATGTAAAATACAAGTTGTATTTATATAATAAGAGTACTAATAAATGCAAGTTATATTGAAGTACCTTTATTTGATTTTTTTTTTTATTACTGTAGGGAAAAGCACTTTCTTGTGTTGTTTACATGAAGAAAGTAAATTTACATTCTCCATGCCATTGACTATAAACATTTTGTATTTACAATCTCTTTAACTAGGTGTTTCCGCAACACTTATTGATTGTATTTTTGTCATGCAAAAATTTTAAGAGAATATTAACAAATAATAACCTCAAATAAAGATAGTTTAACTCACATTTCTTGGAAGTTAGAATTGTATTTGAATATTTTTTTTTAAGTACATGCTTTTAATATTTAGCATGATACCTTCACACAGCTTCCATAGAAAATTACCAGTTGCTTTTAATATGAAAATAAGCTCACAATTTCTGAGCTTAGATCCATCAATTGATAAGCAAACAATAGAATTTCATAGTCAATGTAATATCGTATGCATTCATCATAATAAGAAGTAAAGTGCATTGAAATCATCCTAATCTATGGCATTGCCTATACCAAAGCCAAGCGCTTGAAATGCTGGTGAAATGCCAAATGCTTAAAATATAATGTATGATAAAATAAAAACTATGATGAAGCTAGAAAGGCATCAATATAATGACAATATGTATGAATATATATAATATAATATCAATGATAATGATCACCATAAAATATATTGATATATAATTATTATTATTATAATAACCATTTTAAATTTATTGATGATGCTAATGATGGTGGTGGTGATGGTGACGATGACGATGATGATGATGATGATGATGATCATGATGATGATGATGATGATCATGATGATGATGATCATGATCATGGTCATGATGATGAAAAGGATAATAATGAAATATTTTGATAGAGATAACCATAATCATTGTAAAGAAAATAATGTGGAAGATCATGATGTTGACAATGATTATATTAATGATGGAAAAAAGATTTAAAAATAATATAGTAACTATAAATATGATGGTCATAAAGAAAAATGATGGTGATCATAAGCAAATATTATAACTGCCATTTTGCTATTATTTTCATTGCATGTTTTACCAGCTGTGAATAAATACAAATGATAACTCATATATTTATATGAAGAAAAATAACAATCTAAATCTATCAGTTAAAGAAAGATAATAATAATCATTGAAAAAGATTTAGAAATAATCAATGAGCATATCATAGCTATTGTATATTATAACAAAAAAATTAATGTTTTTTTTTTTTATTTATACAATGCGAATCATTGAACGGAAATTCCAACCTTTATCTCAAGAGTGTTTTCTATTTCATTGCACAAGCAAACATTCATTATTTGTATAATTTATTGAAACGTGAGAAATGCAGCAAACTTTCAACAGGAAAGATTCCAGACCCTTATGATTTCAAGTGATTTTACCTTAAAATAAACAATAGTTTGAAGCCTTCTATAACTTTACAGAGAATTAGAATTTTAATTAAATGCTAAAATGCTGGTTACGCATCTTACAGAAGAGACATTTTTAAGCCGCTGGTCCCATATGCATATAAAAGAACGCAGTACAATCTTAGGAGAAGAGCAAAGGGATTGTCTCCCGGTGTATGTCTTCCCAATTCACCACCAGAACGATCCCAGTAGAATTCCCAGTCTTCAGACCTTCGCAGGTTATCTTTGGCGAGTTAGAAAAAATCCAATCCAGCATAATGATGTTCTTAATATTATGAGGCTTTATACGAAATGGAGCTTTTTTTTTTATTCATGAGAGATAACCCTGTTATTTGTAGGACCCTGGATTCAGACGACCCTCGACCTACGACCCTGGAATCCGAAGGCAAGCATCTTAAGGTGCAGAATATCAAATTTTATTTGACACAATGCAAGACTTTTTTTATAGCTTGTTTAGCGAACCCGCCGAACGCAAATATTAATGATTTCGAATAAAAATAAAATTTTATTTTTTCCCAATTAGAGCACCTGCCGTCACAAGAAATGAAAATTTCAGGAAAAAAGTTGGTTTTGTTTTATTACGCCCTCCGCTGCCTTGAAATCTCCAAAGATAAAATGTATATTCCTTCCTAATTATATTTAATTATTATTATTATTATTATATTATTATTATTTATTATTATTCATAACTCTATCCATCAATGATGACTTTAATAGATAAACTTCAATAACTAACTCTTGTAAATAATTGTATCATTTTATATTTTCTGTTTTATTTATGTCTTTGATTAATTTTTTATTATATGTCTAACTTTTATACTAATTTTATTTTTGCATCGGGAAGATGAATTTTACTTGTATGTTATGTACCAGTAACAATAAAATAAAAGAATCTTGTATCTTGTATCTTTTTTGAAGCATTTGACCATCCATTTTACATTCACCAATAAAATTTAATTTTTATTTTCTCCTAATATTCTGGTCTAAAAGCACAATTGAAAAAACTTTTGGGCCATACTAAACACTCCTCATGAACCCCACTAGGGATTTAATTCTGGGACCCTGGCCGAGGTTCTAGTAGGCCCATTGGCTCAGGCCCCTTTGTCAGGCTTGTCAGGCCGCCTGTCGGCAAATTTCTGAAGTCACCGCTCATTAGAATGCAAAACTGGCTCACTCCACCAACACTATAAAAACTACTTTAGTGTCGTTTACCATACTCTGCATATTACACAAAGCTACCAGGTTCTTGAGAAACCACACAAATTCTTTGAACCTAGCAAGCATTACCGACAGTTTTCCGTGATGAATGAATCTTAATTCAGGGTGCCTTCTGAAACCAAGGTGTATTTAAATGCTGGTTTAACCATTAAGCATTGATATTCATGCTCTTATGCGGACATATTTAAAATGCCACAAAATATCCAGAATTCAGAGAGTAATGAATGCTATAAAAACGCATGAATAATGGAAGTTAATAATTCTACAAAATGCCTGGAAATGGGAGGTTAATTCATGTTATATAAATGACTGGATATGGGAAACCAACAGAAACGGCAAAAAAATAAGAACAATTAATTGCCGGAAATTGAAGGTTGAACTGAAAAATCATGCTTTGTTAAAAAATGAAAAAAAAAACCACAATGTTCTTATATTATTATGGCTGACAAAGAAAAAAAAAAGAACATGAGATAAAAAGATTTCCAGGTAAAAATCCATATTGTCATGGCAACATGGGAATGACTGTACTGAGTTACCATTGCTGTAGTGACCATCTTGCTCCTTATTTTCAAACCTTGAAATGAAATCTGTAAAAGACATGTGTACATCGAAAGTATACAAAAAGCACAAATGCAAGGTAGTTCACATGTAACACAAGTTACATACTGCAAATACATGTACAAACATTGAAACAATCCCTTAGCAGTATCTGGAAAGCGCTAACGGTTAGCAAGTTGAGCGTGTTTCTATCATTAACCAATCACACGTACGCGTTTACAATTTCCAGTTTCTTACTGGCCAGTGATTCGATCATCATATTTTTGGTATCCGGATCTCGGATGGACGCACGGCAGCTAACGGTTAGCAGGATCCGGATCCTGCTAACCGTTAGCAGCCGTGTGAGAACATAGCCATAGTGGTGGCACCAGTAGTTGGGAGGTGAGGGAGGAGGGTTTTCATGTGGTCTGGTTTTTTTTTGTAGGACAAGCATGGAGCCATGTTGCCTAAAACTAAAAATACTACAATACCAATTTAATTTAAAAATAACAAAGCAAAATATTGTGATCCAAATGCACAAATTTTACACTTGTAAGCAATGAAATCTCTCCTCCCTTGACCCAAACTAGGGGTTTAATCTGGGACCTTTTAGTTTGGACAACTCTGTAGGACTTGTGTGTCCTCCTGATGGTGAAGAACCACCACTGCAAGCACCTGCAAATATATGCATTTAATAGCTTAACACATGAATGCACATAGTAATACACAAGCACATACTGCAAATACACACATGCATCGAATACCTTTAACACATCGATGCACACAGCAATACACAAGCACATACTGCCAATAGACGTGCATCTGAGGCCTTTACGGCATCAGATGCACACAGTTAATGTTAATTAACACATGCACAGTTAATGTTAATTAACACATGTTAATGTTAATGAACACATGGATGCACACAGTTAATGTGCATGCACATAAAGCATATACACATGTGCATATGATGCCTTAACACATGGATGCACATAGTAATACATAAGCACATACTGTAAATACACATGTGCATCTGATGCCTTAACACATGGATGCACATAGTAATACACAAGCACATACTGTAAATACACATGTGCATCTGATGCCTTAACACATGGATGCACATAGTAATACACAAGCATATACTGTAAATACACATGTGCATCTGATGCCTTAACACATGGATGCACATAGTAATATGCAAGCACATACTGTAAATACACATGTGCATCTAATGCCTTAACACATGGATGCACATAGTAATACACAAGCACATACTGTAAATACACATGTCCATCTAATGCCTTAACACATGGATGCACATAGTAATACGCAAGCACATACTGTAAATACACATGTGCATCTGATGCCTTAACACATGGATGTACATAGTAATACACAAGCACATACTGTAAATACACATGTGCATCTGATGCCTTAACACATGGATGCACATAGTAATACACAAGCACATACTGTAAATACACATGTGCATCTAATGCCTTAACACATGGATGCACATGGTAATACACAAGCACATACTGTAAATACACATGTGCATCTGATGCCTTAACACATGGATGCACATAGTAATACGCAAGCACATACTGTAAATACACATGTGCATCTGATGCCTTAACACATGGATGCACATAGTAATACACAAGCACATACTGTAAATACACATGTGCATCTGATGCCTTAACACATGGATGCATGTAGTAATACACAAGCACATAATGCAAATACACATGTGCATCTAATGCCTTATTAGGCCTAACACATGGATTCTTTGTGCATGCACATAATGCAAATGCGTATGTGCATTTAATACCTTAACACATGGATGCACATAGTAATACACAGGCACAAACTGCAAATACACATACATGCATCTGACAGTATATAAATGCACATACATTTAAATTTGCTTAAAATGTGAATGTACATATTTATAATACCAAGCAAATAAGAAAAAAAACATGTGCATTATCAAATGCCTTAGACAGCATGTACACATCAGCATATGTAAATACACATGTGCATTCAATTCTTTAACACGCACACGTACACTTATTTAATGCGAAGCAAAGTGTATTACCATCCTCATGCAAGCACTTGTAAATACATGTGTGCACCGAATGCACGCAGATGTACACATGTACATCTTATATAAATTTCTATTTATTAATATTTATCAAGTTCTATTTAATTATTTTTATTTTAACAATGTTTTGTGAGGGTGGTCTATCCAGATCACTGAAAATTCAAACAACGGCATGAATGAAAAAAGGGAAGGAGGAACTGGAGTCAAGCACCTCTACGTACATCCTCTTTAAATATATCATCTCAAGTACAGTAACCAAGCACGTCATATGCTGAATCAACACGTGTACTATCAAATTCCCTAGCACGTGGAGATGTAATAAACTAACAGCTACAATTATACACGTGCATCAAATGCTTTTATAAAACAAGAATGCACGCAGCTGGTAATGTACCATGCTTTACCACGTGGACGTCCACACAAAGCGCAGAGGATGCTCCCAATTTGTGCAAGCTGTCAATAGGGCTATCAAATGGGATATCAGGTTTCTGTCATTCTTCTTTATAATAATTTTGATAGAAGTAGTAAAAGGTGCAAAAGTAGATTAATTAATATGTCACACTGGAATGTAAATTTCTTAATTCTGCAATCAACAATTACGTCTACTCTTACTAATCTCCATGTATTTTTCAACTGTTTTCTATTTGATCTTTTCATCTGATTCTTTATAATTAATTTTGTTATATTTTGTTAATATATGCCATTAGTTCATATTCAACCTGTAGTTTGTTATTTTACTTTATGTTGTCAATTTTAGTAGTTTATAGTGTGCTGTAAAGAAAAAAATATGTTTTTTCTTAATGTACTTCCTAGCAAACATAAGAAATTTCTTAGAATGTGAGGAATTGACCCTTTTGATACCCTTTTTACTTTTAAAGATGCATTGTCCCTTGCTAATGTCAAAAAATCATAAAAAATAAACTAAATAAACTTGCTCATATTGCAATAGCATACAAATTATTAACTTGTGTATACAAATTATTGAACTTAAAAAATGTGTACCCTGATTTTTAAACCAAAAAATTATAATAAAAATAATAAAACACTTCCAGTGACTAGAAGTGTTTCAATCATTTTTCGCTGTAAACTGATGGGCAGACATTTTTTAAATAAACTAATTTCTATGTTCAAGTTGATAACTTTTATGTTACTTCAAAATGGGCGAGGTACTTTCAAAAAATATTTTTATGATTTTTTGGTATTTAGCATGGGACAATACAACTTTAATTTTGGAGTGCTTAGACTCTCGTATTGAGCGAAAATGATCAAGAAATGGAGGAACATACTACATTTTCACAGAATATTTCCCAAAAATATAATAAAAAATATTTGTTAAATCCATTAGGCTTATATAAAGGACAAGGGATAAACTGTTTTTTGTTATGGCCTAAAAAATACTAACTCACATGTTTGAATAAACCTTTTATACAAAATAAAGATTATCATGTTAAATTTTCGTTTACTTGAATAATATTGTTTAAATTTTCATTAAACTGTACCAAGAGAGAACAAGTTGTTAATCTAAAAACTGAAATAATATTTATTCCACAAGAGTTTATTCAATGGTATTTTCTGCTATTTTAATTAAATAATGTAAGTACTAGTAACTTGCATTATTCAGTCAAGAATTTAAAAATATTGTTATCATTATTCTCTGTATTTGTATGTGATATATATTACTATAAACTTTGGAGAGTCTTTACAACAAGATGTTTTAATCCTTGGAACTTTAAATTCAGGATAATGGGGTGGGCTAGTGAGGGGTAACCTTACCCCAAAATTTTGTTTCATATATAGCATTTTAAGTGATTTTCAACAGTAACAGTTTGCTTATGACACTACAAAAATGTTATAGTGAAGTTTTTTTAGGAAACACAAATATATAACCCTGAGTATTTGGTGAAATAAAATCTGGCCTAAAGAATATACAACACCGGGGCAAAGTGAAGTGCACTTTATACAAACATACGCTATTTGCAATGATTATCTAAAAGCTTTAGTTATGATTAATAATATCATATTAATAAATATAGTCTTAGATTGCTTTGATCCAATTAATTTTCATATGACTCTTCAAATTCTGAGAAAACTTTCTTTAAAAACATTATTCTTGGCTTAACAAAACAACGTTTTCAAACTCAATGAAAACACATCAGAGTACATCAATTTCAGCACTAATCACATTCGTACTAAAAATATCCAATTCTCTCACTATTCGTTCATGATAATATTCATCTCTATTTACTAACCTTGAAGCTAAACTTAACAAATCACAATAACAATAAAATGTATCCACATTGTAGCTATATATAGTCAGACAACATTCACCTTTGAAAGGTTGCACTATTTTCTTTCTCAATGCACTTCTTACATTATTTACTCTTTTGTTTCTTCCTGTTTAGATTGATACCTCCTTGGATTGACTGCAACTCTCTTTCATAAATTTTTTTTGAAAGACTTAAAACTTAGCTGAACATACACAAATGATTGGCCAGTGGCATAATGCCTATGGGTTCTCAGGGGAAAGGCTCTAGGCTGCCATTCCAAATTGGTCTTAGAGGTAAAACAATATAAATTCCCAACTTAAAGTTGTTCCACATTCGGGCTCTACTACAACTGAAATTTAGATACTGAATTTAGAAATAATAAAGGGCTACTATATTCACTGAAAATCTGAATGCAATAATAGTACATATAGCAGGCTACGTTATTGTTGATGTTTAATGAAGGGGCTTCTGGCCACCTTTGTGATACTTGTGGTTACTTAAATGCATCGGGGCCCCCAACACTTTACCACACCACCCCCCCCCCCCCCCCCCCCCCCCACCACCCAGGCTCTGTGACTGGTTATGCCACTGTTATTGGCAACTACTTTCAAATCACCTACATTCTCTAGCAGCTTGATATTGCCTCACGTATTAAGTACATTTCTAAGAAAGTGAATGTTAAATTTTAGTACAAATATTTTAAATAAATATTTATCAATATTCCAAACCTTTCAAATCAAAAAAAAAAATGATCTCCATAAAAAGCATAATAGAAATTGAACTATAAAACCACCCAGAAACATTCAGTTCATTACATACCATGCAATACGTTTTAAATTACAAATTAAATTCAGTTTGCCGTAAAATCTCTCCATTATCTAGCAGCCATTATGTCATATAATATTTTTCATAATTTCATAAACATTTACACTCTACCCACATGCTCCATGTTAATTCTCTTGTATATCTTCTGAGTCAATCTAGAAATAACATCATTACTTCCCTGATGCGACGGCTTAATGGGCGTCTATAAATGAAACCGACTACCATTTCAATTTACTTAATTAACTACTGATATTTAGTTCAGAAGCAAGGAAGAAAAAAAAAACACCAACTGGCATATTGTTTAAAAACTGTGGGTAGCCTTACCTTGCCAGATATTAGTCCGACAGCTTGAAGGGCGTTTAACACCTTTTTCTTGTCACTGTCTTTTGTCGCAAATGTTCGAACAAAGCTACAAAATATAATATATCATTACACTCAAAGTAAGAAATATGTGATTAGTTGTCACTAGCTAGTTGTTTGCATGGCTGGTTGTTTGGCTGGTTGTTGAAATCAATTAATCAATTAATCAATGGATCAATTAATCAATCATTCATTCAATAAATCAATCATTAAAGCTATCACTTAATCATTTGATCATTGAATCAAACAAATCTATTAATAACTTGATCATTGAATCTATCATATATCTTCGCTAATGATTAAATTAATCAATTAATCAAATCAATCAATAATTTGATTAATCATTAAATCCATCACATAATATTCTAATCACGAAATCAATTAATAAATCATTCAATTGATCAATCACTGAATCTATTACATAATTCCCTATTTACTAAATTAATCAATATATAAATCAATCAGTTGATCAATCATTGAATCTATCACACAATTCTCTAATCATTGAATCAATCAACCAATTAATTAATTAATCATTGAATCTATCACATAATCCCCAAAATCATTCAAACAATCAATCAATCAGTTGATCAATCATTGAATATCACACAATCCTCCAATCAATGAATCATTCAACCAATTAATTGATCAATCATTGAATCTATCACATAATCTCCTAATCATTGAATCAATCAATCAGTTGATCAATCATTGAATCTATCACATAATCCTCTAATCATGGAATCATTCGCCCAATTAATTGATCAATCATTAATGTACAAAATAATTTTAAAAAATAAATAAATAATGAATGACTTGACTCCCGATTATTTAAGAATTAAATTTTCCACAAAGGCAATCAGCATATAATACTAGATCTACAAATAACCTGTACATAGAAAAACCTAATACAGAGTATAAAAAAAAGAGTTTGGCATATCATGGTGCTGACTTGTGGAACAATAATGATGAGACCACAAAAAATAGTACCACTCTTAAAATTTTTAAAAAGTTAATTTCAACATAATTTTTTAAGTGTACAGTTCTTTTTTTTTTTTTTTTTTTTTTTTTTTTCTTCCTTATCCATTATTTGTATTTGTAAGTAGTTCTTGTTTGATTTCATGATCTGATACCATATGTTAAAGGTACATATACGGCCTCGTGGAAGAACACCTCCTTGGTGAACGAGCTTCCATTGTAAAAGAAAGATCTTATTATTATTATTATTATTATTTTATTATATCATTGCATTTACCACATAATCCTCTAAAACATTGAGTCAATCAATCAATCAATTGATCAATCATTCAATCTATCACATAACCCCTAATCATTAAATCAATTAATCAGTTGATCAATCATTGAATCTATCATACAATCCTCTAAATCACTGAATCAATCAATCAATCAATCATTTGATCAATAATCACATATTCCCCTAATCATTGAATCAATCAATTAATAAATTGATCCATCATGCACTTAGTCCAGGTGAATACTAATATATGAATAATTTATAGAAGCTAACGTAATAAATATACAATTAAGAGCGATAACTTTAGTAACTATGAAGACGTCATCATTGCAACTTCCACGTCATACAGACAGCAGAGATTGATTTGTCAGCTGACAGACGTAACCATCATTTAATGCAGTGTGTGGCCAAATACTCTTATGAAAGAATTTGAAAAAAACTTACGATCTCACAGGTATCTTTCCTTGTGTATTTGTAGAGATTCTCAACTTGGTGTACCTGCATATAAAAATAAGGTAAACCAATGTTTACATAAACAAATATTCAATTACATGATAGTAACTGTTGTATAAAGAAAGAACTTCTAATGATAAATAAAATAAATGATAAGAATGTTTGTTTATTGTCAAACTTCAATTTAACAATAATACTTCCAACAATATTTCATAATGTAAAAACAGGAAATAAACATTATTATGCTCAATAAAAATTGTCATTTAGTAATGAGCATTTTGAAAGGCGGTCAAATAAGTTGACCTGGCCACCCACACTGAATGTCATAGTCATTAGGTTTACCACAGTTTATAATATTAACCTACATTTCTGAAAGCATACTTCAATGGACTAATAATTGTTTATTAAACATTTGATGATGCATCTTGTTAAAATGAAGATCATTTCCGTATGACAAAAGGAAAGCGAAGATTGTATTTTCTAAGAAAACTTAAGAAGCTTAATGTAAACAGCACCAATCTTATCTTGATTTATAAAGCAATAATACAGAGCATTTTAACTGACTGCCTAATCTGTACATATAAAAGCCTAACAAAACAATATATGAATAAATTAGACTCAATCCGAGATACTGAAAAAAATAATTAAGATATACATTAAATGATATTTATGACAAATACGCATTCGCTGAACTTAAGAAAATAATGAACGACACAACGCATCCACCACATAATGATTTTACTCTTAACAACTATGGTTTCCGTCTAAATGTACCACTCACTACATGTTGCCGTTGAAGAAACTCCTTCGTTCCCAACTGTGCAATTTTGGCCTAATTTAATTATGTTTAATGTGTAATATTGTTTAATAATGTTTAATATTCTGTTCTTTGTATGTACTCCTTATCTTATGAATAGATATTGTTTGCAGCTCATAGTTTTATATTTTTATATCCTTATCTTTTACTTATTACTGTATATGTTTATTAACACCTGTACTGCCAGTGGAATTAGAAATTTCCCACTCAAGGAATCATATTCATGTGATACATTCACAACTACTTAACTATTTCTGATTGAATATATTTTTGATGGACTAATAATTATACCCATTAAACATTTACTGATGGATAACTTTAACGATCAAGAGATCATTAATACTACCTTTAAAAAGGAAATTACAACTTTATATTCATATCAATAAAAAAGCTTTCAATAATTTAGAGTTAATTAAGCATGGAAAGGTGACACAGCTGTTACAGACACTGTGGCTGACAAGTATGATATTATAAATGCCATTCATATAAAAGGAGTATAGTTTTCAATAATTTGATATAAAAAATGTGTCAAGGTTTTAAACCTAAGCCTGCTAAATATAAGTGAGAAGAAGAATGGGTGCTTTAGATAAGTAGAGAAGCCCCAGTCAAAATATTCCTTGCGGATATTTTAGAGTAGCTGTTCTCTCATCATGGCAACAAACATGAATTGGGTACACAGATATTAGAGCTGTTTCCACAGGGGATACAGACAGCAACAACAGACATAGTAGGACACAGAAAGCTGTTGACTAGTAATGCCAAAACAGTTAAGACACAGAAATTATAGATGTTTCTTGATGACTACTAAACAAGCATCAGCAGTAGACAAGACCTGGACCAATACTCTAAAGCCATCCCCAGACCTGTCCCTCATCACTAGCATTGCGTTGTTAAACGCTCACACAGTAGAGAGATGGATTTGCGGGCAGACGGTCGCAACCACCAGTTTGTATCCTACTTGAATTGCACTAAAGTTGTATAAGTGGTTTTACGATTTTTCCATTTCTCATTAAAAATATATTATATTATATTTATGTTCTTGTAAATAGATGCAAATACACAATCGTAATTATAACTGGTATCAATCACATGATTTAACACATGGTCACGGCTCATGATTCTTCATACTACACTCTCCCATATCACACTCTTTGCATATACCATATACAGTAACATTATATGATCTAATACCAGGGTAAGATCCAGGGGCCAAGAAGGCTAGAGCTCCACTACCAACTCCCACAAAAAAGAGAGAAAAGAAAAGAAAAATTGAAAGACGGGGGTGGGGGAATGGTATTAAAAGTGCTGTATGATACTTGTATTCTGTGTATTTGTATTGATTTTAAAATTAAAATTCTAAGAAGTCACTTTGTATAAACACTGTAAATGGAAAAAGAAATAAACAATCATAACTGAAAGCCTGAAACATAATATCTAATACCAGCAAGTATGAATAAGCTGAAATAAACAATTGATCTGGGCAGTTAAACAATAAATGATGTCATTGATGATTCCCACTATTAAGTAGTCAAATATTAGCTAATAAATTGTATGTTCCAAGACATCTACATTTACGGTGTCCTGTATTCTTGTTTATATCCGCAATTTTAAATGTGACATCAGGTCTTATATTGCTTTATTTTTTTTATTTTATTTATAAATTTACATATAAATCATACACATTATTATAGTTATTATATATATGACCAATTTTAATAGGTATATTACATTGCGATTAAAAATTATAGGTGTCTATATATATATTTTGAATAATATACACGAGATATGCAAATTATGACTTAATTATTAATGTAATGTATATATTTGCTATAGAGCATTAACAAAGTCTAAATGCGATGTTTAGTGAAACAGAATTAAAAAGTTTGAAAAAAGATGTGTTTTGAAACAGTTTTTGAAAATGCTGAGAGAAAGAGAACTGTGAACTTCAAGAGGTAGTAACGTAATGGCACAGCAACAGAAAATGGTCTTGTCACCATAATATTTTAATCGACCAGATGGTGTAGGGGAACAACTGTATTGGTGGTAGATCTGAGTGGACGGCTGCACCGACTAGACCTAAGATGGACTAAATTTTCAATTTAAGGAGGAGTAATGCCATGAAAGGTCTATATGTAAAAATAAACATTTTAAAGGCAATATGTTGCCTAACAGGCAGCCAATGAAGACTTTTATTGGTGTAATGCGCTGATATCGTGAAAACTTTTTAAGCAGCCAAGTTTAACTAAGTTTAATTCTGTTAAAATGGTGGTAAGTCCATAAAGCACACCGTTGCAATAGACCCCTTTCAATGTTTACATTGGCCTAGATTACATTAAATTTTTATTTTTGTTGTCAATTCCTATTATAATGCAACATGTTCTATATGAGTTTCATCCAATTAGCTTTCATATTTTTGGCACAACAAAAATAAAGATAACCCAGACAGTGTATTTTGCTATCCTTTCTGCCTCTAGGTAGGGCGCTGCCAGCGTTTCAGCCAGGCCAATATAAACACTGAAAGGGGTCTATAGTCTAGCTTAGTGGTGATGAGAGCATGGACAAGTTTATTACACATACCTGTAGACTATTATTGGTGTAATGCTCTACTAATGTGAAACTTTTTTAAGCAGTCGAGTTTAACTTAAGTTGAATTCTACTGTTAAAAAGATGGGAAGTCCATAAAGCATATTGTTACATTGTCCAGGTAATGAGATCGTGGACAAGTTTAATTATTACATGTGTAGATATGCAAATTATAATGAAAACCTACAATTTCTCAAGCAGGCTGGCAGGTGATGGATTTTGTGTGCTTCTACTATATGCAATCCTCATGACTGCTTCACTCCACATCTGTAGAATAAACAAACAGAAAATGCCTGTTAGGTGACTATGTATCACTGCATGGCAACAATGAGGAACATGACTTAATATCTTAATATGGGTAACTATCAATGCTAATAAAAAAGATAACCATTTAATATGCAAAATATAAAAGTATGGTAGGATTGTTAAATTCCATTTTTACCCATAATGCATTATGGTATCAGTGGCGTAACACCTAAACTCTAACAAGTTAAGCAAAAACCCCAGACCCCAGAATATTACTCTGCAAATTTTTTTTCAGGACAAGCACTTTGCTATTAAACACATGCCTCAAATCAGCTGTGCGGGCCTATTAAAAGAAAGAATGTGCAAAAATACATCAAAATACTTTAATAAATCAACAGCACTAAATATGCCGTCGTGTAGTAGGGCCCAGAGGAAAGTCGAGCCAGGGGAAAAAGTTGTGGCTCAGACTCTAACATTTGAGGTCAAGGGTTTGCAAACCATTCCTGTGCAAGTGATTTATGTCCTTGAACAAGGCACTTTATCTACCCAGGAGTACATGTGGCTACCTGGTAGCATCTAATACCATGCGCTCATTCTAGCCGCTTATGAAACTGTGCTCCCCAGAGAGCTGAGGATGCATTCCATAGGTCCGGTGACAGGGGGTAATGATGTAAAGCACATTGAGCCAGTTTATTGCAATATTGCAATATGCGCCGTATAAACGTCACGTTATTATATTATTTTAAGTACCAGCGGATTGTTCAGAAGTACCTGTCACTCATCAATTTTAAATCCCAACTGTTGTTCGATCCATCATTCATTATCTGATTAAAAGGCACAGAATTTGTTACATGCATACTCTTGGGAGTTTGAAATATACTACCAACTCATTTAACGAGGGAAATATCTTGTAATTAAATTACTCTATGTATCTCCTCTCATTCATATGTAGTTCGCACTTCAGGTAATGTATTTAGGAATAATGTTCAGTGGCGTATCCAGGATTTTGAAAAGGGTGAGGGGTGATGTATAGAAATATTACGTCTACTGAACATAATGTAATTGGCTCAAAACTAGCTATAATATTGATGGCTGTGGCTGCACCATAAATTGGGTACACATTGCATCCATTATCTGATGCTATTCCTTGGAGAGCATAACAAATAGAGGGATGGGTGATAAATCCTTCGCAATAACAATCTGCATGGACTACCACCGACAATAAGCAGTCTGTATCTAGTTGCCTAGTGCTCACATACAGCGCAAATGAATTTGTCAGCTGTCAAATATATAGGCCTATGTACTGAAATCCAAGTACATTGTCAAATTTTTTCGATAATTTATATAAATTTCAACTGTACTTGCCCAGAATAAAAGGAAAAATGTTAACTAACTTAAGTTGTTGATTCATCAATTAAAAAGATATTCATATTTCACTATAATTTATAAAAATTATCAACTTGAACATCCTTCACTATTACTAAAATATCTTTATTTTGCTCAACTTTATTTTTGAATAAGATTTTAAGGGCATTAATTTATAGCGCACTACTAAATTACATATTACATCTACTGGCCTAGAATGGAAAAGGGTCGTATAACTATAGCAACTGATATCAATTAATTAGATACTCATCACACACTATACAGTATATCAAAAGTATTAACATGAACATCCCTCATTATTACTAAAATAACTTTATTTTGCTCAATTCTAAATGATAGATTCTACTAAGGTCATTAATTGACACTGTAGCACACTACTAAATTACATCTTGGCCTAGAATGGAAAAGGGTTGGTTAACTATAGTAACTGATTATCAATTAATAAGATACTCATCTCTCACTATATATCAAAATTATTAACATGAACATTCCTCACTATTACTAAAATAACTTTATTTTGCATAATTCTGAATGATAGATTATAAGGTCATTAACAGCGCACTACTAAATTACATCTACTGGCCTAGAATTGGAAAGGGTTGTGTAACTATAGTAACTGATTATCAATTAATAAGATACTCATTCCTCACTATGATTTTTAAATTATTAACATGAATCCCTCACTATTACTAAAACAACTTTATTTTGAATGGTAGAGATTAAGGGCATTATTTATAGAACATCTAATTTATTACGTCTACTGGTCTAGAATTGAAAAGGGTTAGGTAACTATAGTAACTGATTATCAATTAATAAAATACTCATTCTTCATTATGATTTTTAAAATAATTAACATGCATATCCCTCACTATTACTAAAACAACTTTATATTGAATGGTAGATTTTAAGGGCATTCATTTAAAGAACAATGCTTTATTACGTCTACTGGCCTAGAATTGAAAAGGGTTGCATGTAACTGATTATCAATTAATAACATAGTAATTCTTCACTACAATGTATCAAAATTATTGACATTGCACATCCCTCACTATTACTAAATTAAGAAGTTTTTTGTTTCACTTAATTTTAAATGGTTGGTTCTAAAAGGACATTCATTTCTGGCACACTACATTGATTACGTCTACTGGACTAGAATGGAACAGGGTTTATCTTATTATATGATTAATAAGATACTGATCTTTCACTAAATGGCAGTTAAAAAAAAGCTAGCAGCCTCCAATTCCCATGAGATGGGGTATTCAAGGAGCTAAGTGAGTTTTTTTTTCATTCTTATTTGCTTATTTCTGGCCTAAGAACTATCATACATTCTAAATCTACTTGTACAAGATCGCCTTTCTGCAGCCCCAAATGAGTGTCTATCTTTTATTTCTATAAAATAAAAAAATTTTTCTAATTAAAGACTGCGCTAAAGACCGTAAAAACCTCGGTCCGAAAAGTAGTCTTTTATTTTATTTTGTTTTATTTCTTTTTTTTTTTAGTAGCGTATCCTACTTTTACCACTTTTTAAAATCCTTCACTTGCATCGCAAACTCTTGTATTTTGGTATTTACTTTACACTATTTCTTTAAATTAATTTATATTTCAATTTTTCTCTGATTTCAATTTTTGTCTTACCAATATGACATTTTCATTTTTTCTGCTTTTTGTATTTTTATTTTGTATTTATTGCCAAAAGTAATAAAATAAAAACAAGACATATTTTGTGAGTACTTGTTTTCAAATACTTGACTGATTAATATGTGACAAACTCCATTTGTGTCTTTTAATCTGCAAGTGCAGATGTAGGGGAGAATGGGGACTATGTCTCACACCCAAAAAAAATAATGGAAAAAAAAAAATAGAGAGAAGAAATGAAAAGAGAAATAGAAGACGATGGTCAAGCATTTCCAAACAAAAAATTGCAGTACCACTCCCCTCCCACCCCACCTCCCCTTCCGACTGGTGTTTCGCACTTTGCTCCCTACACATATTTTCCTCTGGATCTGCCCCTGATCTGAATAGTTCTACATTCTTCAAATAAAAACAATTTCAGGGCATACTTTAGTAATTTTTAAGACGATTACAAATATGGTATGATGAATAAATCCTCAAAATGCATCCAATATGACATATTAATCAGCTGACGTTAAGTAGTTTGCAACAGCCTCAATAAATTCTGTAGATTTCAAGTTGAATAGAACTGCATACTTCCTGATCGAATTCACATCTGTATGATGTTGTCATTATTATCCAGTGTATGCAATATCATTGAATTATTATACACGATTAAATTACATACTTTAAAAGGTGCGATTTGGAATTTCTTTGAGGCAACTATGATCCGTATTTCAGTGACGTTAATTTCAATTATGGATTCTTGATTTTTTTTTAAAATTCTCATGAAGGTCACTCAGGTTTAAAGTTTTTTTGTTATATAACTGTATGCAATGATAAATATTATAAACACAAACTATATAAAAATACCTGGGACAATTCAAAATATGAATTTCTTTTCCAATGTTTAAAAAAATGTTTACAATAAAAAGCAAAGACACTAGTCAATTAATCTCTCAAATTATATACTCTAGCAATAGCTACCGGTATTATTTGGTTACTGTACCTTCGCCTGCTAATCAAGAAAAGTAGGCATTAATAAATTAGGGACCTATCTAATGGGAAAGTGCACAGGTACGAGAGATGAGGATTTATGCTTAGGTTTGCTCAAGCCAGCTCTCAGACGTAATCTTTTAAAAATAAAAAACTCTTGGTGAAATGCAAGAGCCATGTGGAAATCTTTTATTATATGATGCCTGGAAAAACTGAACCATATGGGTTCGAAGCTGGAAGAAGTTCCTTCAAGGAGATTTGGTTAAAGGGGTTTTTTTTTACACATTTAATTATATATTTCTACGCATGGTGACTCTCACCAGCACCGACTTCCATGAGATAATTTATAATAAAGTAGTAAAAACATGCAAATGTTACGAATTTGCAGGAGATGGGTTATTTTCCAAGAGATTCTTAATCCCTTGAAGGAGTGTGGGAAGTCGTCCTGATTTTCGGGAGACTCTCGCAACTTGTGAAACTGGGGGATCCTTAGAATAATGAGTTTAGTGGAGCAGTGGAGAAACAAGTTGTCACCTTGTGAAAATCAACAATTTGCATTACCTTTCACTCCTCCCTTTCAGTGGCCATGTAATATTATTATTAATCATACCTTGAGTTTGGCAACATTTGTAGTCTAATGATCTAGTATTACCCCTCACTTCTCCCCTTCAGCAGCCATTTTGCCAGCATTTACAACCTATTGATCTAGCATTACCCCTCATCCTCTTCAGCAGCATGTAATAATATTAATCTTACCTTGAGTTTGCCAGCATTTGCAGCCTAATGATCTAACATTACCCCTCATTCCTCCCTTTCAGCGGCCATGTAATATTATTAATCTTACCATGAGTTTGCCAGCATTTGCAGCCTAATGATCTAACATTACCCCTCATTCCTCCCTTTCAGCGGCCATGTAATATTATTAATCTTACCTTGAGTTTGTCAGCATTTGCAGCCTAATGATCTAGCATTACCCCTCATCTTCCCCTTCAGCAGCATGTAATAATATTAATCTTACCATGAGTTTGCCAGCATTTGCAGCCTATGATCTAACATTACCCCTCATTCCTCCCTTTCAGCGGCCATGTAATATTATTAATCTTACCATGAGTTTGCCAGCATTTGCAGCCTAATGATCTAACATTACCCCTCATTCCTCCCTTTCAGCGGCCATGTAATATTATTAATCTTACCATGAGTTTGCCAGCATTTGCAGCCTAATGATCTAGCATTACCCCTCATCCTCCCTTTCAGCGGCCATGTAATAATATTAATCTTACCATGAGTTTGCCAGCATTTGCAGCCTAATGATCTAACATTACCCCTCATTCCTCCCTTTCAGCGGCCATGTAATATTATTAATCTTACCATGAGTTTGTCAGCACTTGCAGCCTATGATCTAACATTACCCCTCATTCCTCCCTTTCAGCGGCCATGTAATATTATTAATCTTACCATGAGTTTGTCAGCATTTGCAGCCTAATGATCTAACATTTATTTCTCACCTTCATTGGATATGTAACCAATTCTTACTTTGGGTTTGGCAGAATTTGGAACCTACTGATCTAACATTATCCCTCACTCCTCAAGAATTTGGCAACATTCACAGCCCACTAATTTTAATATTACCGCTGTCTCCTCCCCTTCATGTGGCTGTTCTTACCTTGGGTTTATCAGCATTTGAATCCCATTGATCTACTATTACCCCTTACTCCTCCCCTTCACTGGCCATTCAATACTTACCTTAGGTTTGGCAGCACTTGCAGAACAAAAGTTCAGACATGAGAGTTGACACATATCAGCACCACTATAAAATATGCTCATCGTTTTGTTCTCTAGCTTTTCTTTAGTGCCCATCATTGCCAAGTCACGGCTTTTAGAATCCTACGCAAGAAAAAATAAATTAAAAATGTTATTTTTTATTCACTTGAATTTATGACAACAAAAATTTTAAACCAAATAATATATATTTATCTCCATTGGTTAACAAACAATATACATTTAAGATAACTATAATGATATCAATAACAATAGTTCCTAAACTTTTCATGATTTTGAACCTTGTTTAAACCTTATTTCAATTAACCACCAAATATCCATAATTTCAAATTTTTCAATATCAATTACTTCTGGCTAAAAAAAAGTCATCAGCATCTAAACAGAGAACTTAGAACATGCTTTAGTAGCTGCTGAGAGGAGGGTCACCTAGCTGGGTAAAACCTAGTTTCCATAGAATCGCTCACCCTATCAGCGATAGTCGCCAACAGTTGTCAGGAAGGTCGCACCTGGTTCAACTTTGCTGATTGTAGTGCAGATGAATCAGGGTGCATTGCTAGCTGCCACCAACTCAATCGAGAAGGCACCCTGATTCATCAGCAACACCATCGGCAAAGTTGAACCTCCCCGACAACTGTCGGGTGAGCGATTGTACGAAAAACCATGCTTAAGAAAAACCATCAGCTCAACAAATAGTGAATGAGCTCCTCTGAGTCATCGACCAACCATGTTTAGTTTAAGAAATAAGAGTAATTTAACCATATTTTTATCTAATTTTACTGTTATGACACAATTATTAAATTGTCAAATGCTAATACAAAAATTCTGGGTTTTCTTTGGAAGAATAACAAATTATTCATTTTAAAAACTTGAATTACATTTAAGATTAATCACAATTACATTACTTGGAAAAAGGATTAAAATTGACATTTAACACGTGTAATTTAAAATATTGACAATTTAGGTCAACACACTTTGAGTATATTAAAAAGAGTGGTGTTCAATCAAAAATGTTCAATCAAATACAGCTTGAAATTAACATATCTATCTTCCACAAGTTAACTCATATAATATGGCATTCAAGGTTTTCTCTAGTTATCAATGGCCGTCTTGTGTTCCAAGGGCAGCACTAGATCCGTAAAGATGGCGCACCAAGAGTACATAATAAATAATGTTAAATACTAACTTATTAATAACAAGAATATTAATAACAATCATGATGACGAGGAGCATGACAGCATCAAGGACAGTGATAATGTATAACACTTGTATTAGCACTACTTCCAACAAACAAACGGTAACCACGAGTGTTGGTCACATTGTGTTTTATTAACGTACAGCCTGATCAGTGCAAAAACACAGAAATAGTATATGTTATGGTTTTAAAATGACTTACTGTAATAAAAATGGTAAAGAAATGCAGAATGTTTGTTAAAAAAATATTCTTGTGGAGCGGTTTGTAGCGGTTCAGCTTCTGATCCCTGAGGTCGGGGGTTAAATCCCTTGCTAACATAACCCTTATGTCCCCAGTCGTCTTTCTCCATGCTTCAAGCAGTTGTGTATCTTGGGGGTGTTGAAATGGTGGGCTCATGGGGGTGCGCAGGTGAAGTGGGAGGGATCAATGAAAAAGTAAGGAGGCACTAGTACATTTTTTAGGTGATTTTTAACTATTTCAGCATAATTCTTTTGCATAGTGGGCATACATCCCTGCACATATCCTTCCTCTTCCCCCTCTCCCTCCCCTGAGGGCCTCTGCCATAGAGTACAAGTGGGTTTCTATTAGGTTCAAACACAAAATGTGTTTGAAATTATTTTTATGGGACCTATACGGAAATAAATAGTTGCTACTTTTTATAGCTTTTCTATTAAGAAGGGTTGTTTGTTGCACATTTGCCTTGTTTCCTGTTTAATGTTTTTTGTCGATCGTGTTTTACCTGATTAATGAATAAATTCAATTCAGTTAACTACCAGTTTGTAACATTATGGAATTCTCTTCAGGAAGCTAAGTATGTGTTTTCGTAATGTGCTTGATCCAACAGGCAGGGTAATATGAAGAGCTTATAGAGGCCTTAATTTCATGAAGCGCTGTATTATTATTATTGTTATACTCATTCTAGCATTCTCTGTGCACTTTAGGCTCTGGAATTCACATAAACGTTTGTAAGAAGGATAGCGCTGACTAGAACCATAGCGAGTCCCACTCACAAATCATGGATTGACCTCAGATGGGACTAGCCTAACTCTTTTTAAAACAGCACAGTTATTGGTACCTTTTTTTTGGAGCACTAACAAAAAAATTTGATGATGCTAACCCAGTATTCCAAGCGATAAGATAGTTTATTGGGATTCCAACCGAAATTATTGAACATCAAAGATCAAGCAAAGATTAAGCATCATTCCTTATGTCTGCTTTTAGGTTATGACATGGTTGCAGATTGTGACTACTCATTTTATTGAGAGTAAAATAGTTTATAATAGAAGAGCCTATTATACTGACGAAGCCCAATGACTGTAAAATTCATTATTGTTAAAGAAAATTTAAAATATTAGAATATTTTCAATTTAACACTACAAGTTAAAAGAAGAATTAACCTTATAATACAAGAGACTTTTAACCTTTATTATTTGTACTTGGTATTTTAACAGACAATATAAAATATAATTATAGGTAGATTAATAGCAGATGACCGATCTACTATACATGTAATGTACCACTATAAACATTCATTTTTGTTTCAAATATTCTAAGACATTTAGAATATTTTCAATTTAACATTAAATAAAAAGAGGATTAAGCTTATAATACAAGGGACCTTTAACCTTGAAACTTTGTTATTTGTACTTGGTATTTTAAGAAACAATATAAAATATAATTAGGCAGATTCATAGCATATGACTAATCACTGTATTTATAATGTACCACTTCCAGAAAACTGAAGAATGAAAACATAGCAAGTTAATTCCCAGCTAACAATATTACGTTATAAGAATGCTATAACCTTACAGTTTGGTATTGAAAACATTATTTAGAACCATAAATACATACTTACAATGTAAACTACAAAACGACTGAATGTTCCTGCAACGTTGTGTGAATGTTATTTTGGGACATACTTAACGACGACGTTTGTGAACGTTAAAAGAACATTTTGTTTATACTCTGAAGTTTTCTACAATAATTTACTTTACTTTTTCACTTGATTGATCTTAACAGCTTGTGTTTAACCCCCTGCAGTACCTACTTAGATTATTTATGGCTGGGGCTCCTCAGCTTCCCAAAACCACCAAACCATTTTTTTATACAAACCTTTCCACATGTGTGTAGGCAGAATTGGGCTATAGGTATGGTAAAAATACCAATTTGAAAAGTGTGTTCTATTCTCATGTTATGAAAAAAGGGTATTTTAGGAAGAAAAAAATAGGAGTAGTACCACAATTTATGTGAATAATTCTTAACCAGTATTTCATTAGGATTAAACTGAGGTAGAGTGTTAGGAAGAAGATCTACTGGGGTCCTTCTTGTGTTGAATTGAGTAGTACACTGGGAGACAATCCCCTAATCTTTTCCGAATAGTGTACTGCGTTCTGTAACGTGCAAATTGGTCATATTGCACACAAGACCAACAGCTTAAATGTCTCACATGAAAGACGGAGCACAACTGAAACATGTGTTTTAGCCCTCCATTTTCAAATCCTGGAACCACCCCTGAAGAGTGAGTCCCCCGGGGGATTTAGTGCAAACACGGGTGGCTACCACCAGTTAATTAGGCAACCGAGGTAAGCTGCTCTCTCTTTACTTTTTCAAATCAAGAATTTCACACAACTGACTGCCATAGCAACAACTTCAGAAATTATTAACCACAAAAAGTAAATTGTGGACTTTGCACCAGCATACAGTAGCTTGGGTGTTAAAGTAATTCTAATTTATTACCAGATTCTTGCAACCTGAGCAACTAATATGTACATACTTGGTATAGTAATATTGAGTGTAAATCAGCTATACAAAAAATCAAAACACATAAATTGGAGTTACTTTGAAAAAAAAAAAATCCACTTAAGAATTTTGAACAATATAATAAACATATCAAAGTCTAAAGTAAAAGAATAGTATCTCATAATCATTTTGTTTAATAAAGTTAATGTTTAATTTCATTATTTAATAAAATCTACATTCTTCAACATCACCCTCAACAAAAATGAATTTTCTCATCTGAACCCAGCATATCTTTATAATGCTACAACCTGACAGTGATAGACTGGTAGTGACACTGACTGATTATTACATGATTAGGTTGGGTTACCAATAGTTCACCATATGGAACAAGTTGGTATAATTGCTGCGAAGCAGCCAATTCATATTCTTGACAGCAATTTGACCTCTGAAAGGTCATTGTTTGTCAAAAAACAATCGCCTAAGACAACTGAAAAGCGGAGTTTCCTTCTTTCGTTCTGCCGGGTAAAATCAATTACTTTAGGCGACGTTTGTAGACTAACCTACTCGTACCAACATCGGCATGTCGCAACCCTTGAGTACTATTCAGCGTTTTTACTATATTTCTAGGTTTCCTATTTCTACGTTTAATCGGCTCATGTCTCAGCCACAATATTTTGAGGTCAATATTATTTACGAACCCAGTTAAACTTATTTACTAGCCTATTTCAACATGCTAATTATTACATTTAGGCGATGCTTGTTGTAGATTGGCATAGTATTTTCGGAAATAAATACCATTTTATACACATGCGCAGATCGATTCGCCAGCAGCGAGTCATCGCCAGCAGCAGCGAGTCGCCAGCAGAGAGATGTCACTGCAGCAAAACACTATTGTACACGGTACCAACGCTGTTCTAATATAGACAATGGGTCGTGCTCATATTATTTGTTATATTTTTATTATTCATTATTTTCAATTGACTCGCATAAATAATTTTGTTCAAAGAACATTTTATGTAGTTGTACTTCGCAGCACTTCACTTGCAATTTGCAATTTCTAGTATTATTGGTATATAAACCGGACATCTACGAGGGTCGATGTCTCTATGCAGCCATTTTGGTAAAATATTACACTATTTGTAATGATGTAAATATTTAAAAAAACAAATGAAACAGATCCGGGACTTTTCTTTAAAGAGAGTTCAAAATACATATTTTTAATATTCCTTATTCAGGTATGTTCTGGACTTTTTAATGTCCTCAGATAATCTAAAGCAATATTCGTTGCATTTTTGGTACCGTATATTCGGCGTATAACCTTCAAATATTTTATACAAGATTTCGACCTCGAAATTTGGGGTACAGCCTATATGCCGGTCATTAACCTACTCCTAAAAATTTCAGATCACGAACCGCATCAAAAATCAGGCGCCACGTCTACGCCCAGTTTAGCCAAATTAATAGCCTAGGGTAGAACTGGTTTGTAGGCCTAGTATTTGTAATAATCACTACTAGGATTCCTACAACATTTTCTATGACATTCACGCAATTGTTTGGGTTGTCTAAATAATTATTTTATATTACGATCATTCATAAACAATGTTTGAAACATGTTGTTTCTGTTTGAAGCCGGTTCGCTCAAAACAATAACAAACCATTTTTAAGTCTTTGAGGTCACGTAAACAGCTTCATGAACTTTGACAAACGCACACGGTGAACTGGTTGAAACGACGAATGATACTGCTATGCAGTGTGATTTTAGAATAAAAACGTGAAATTGTGTGCTATAAAAACACAGGTTTTGAAGGCTGATACTTTTTTTTTACTGGAATTAAACTGTAGAAAGGCATACGTCATCTGCCAAATTGCTCATGCGTTTTGAACTTTGTATCATGTGTTATTCCTCCATTCTGTTTTGTTTACAAAATGTGATGCCTGATGTTACATGCTTCGCACAGTGGGCTGTGAGTAGTAATGACAGGCCTAGAATTATAAATATTTTTAGCTCAATATCTGCTGTTATTAGTTACTATAACAATAGAATGATTGATTGAATAATAACTAAATATACTCAAAGTATTTTATTATATTACATTTTAATAAAATAAATGACTGTTGAAAATTTAAATTAACGCAGCACAACTGTCTAGTGAGGAATGGGGATTTCCATAGAGTAATAATTTCCAGTTGTTTGTTGTTTAATAATTGCCTGATAAATTTGAAATTTCTTTATTTGAATATTTGTAAATACAGTAATGTTGATGTTTCACAGTAATTAAAAACTTAACATAGGGAATGGTTTGGAGCTTAAAATAGGTGCAGCTTAAACACAGGTGACACAAAAAAAAACGTGATATTTCGTGTCCTAAGTAGGGGTGCGGCTTAAATCGGAATACACAGTAACATTCATGCTATAATTATTAGAACATATTGTGAAGAATGAAAAAGCTTCAAAATCAAAGTATAGGTCTAAGTAACTTCTAAGTCTAAGTCTAAGTATCAATTCCTTTTTGGTTCCTATGCTATAAAGCAATAGGAACCTTTGCAATCATCCATGCATGTGTGTCCATACGTCTGTGGCTCTGATGTTATCAAATTCGTTGAAAGTTTCTGAATAAGCAAACTTAAATTTCCAAACACCTGTTGGTTATGAATTTTTTAGCATATGCTTTATAGCATAGGAACCAAAAAGGAATTGATACAAGTTACTTAGACCTACACTTTGATTTTGAAGCTTTTTCATTCTTCACAATATGTTCTAATAATTATAGCATGTACTATCCTTATTATATAATACAACATATTTTATATCTTCTTTTTTAATAAAATTATGGTACTTTATTATTATTATTATTATTTGATAGCAGTATTATTGAATAGCAATCACCTTTCCTAAAAATAAATATTTTCATATGTCATTCATTATCACTTTAAATCATTAGTTATTCAAGGCGATTGGTTTCTATAAAAGAATCACTTTAAAACGAAAGCACTACACAGGCCTAATCATGGAGCTCTATTGGCTAATAATAACTAATTATTTATCACATGACTAATCATCAATTAATGCACAATGGACTCTGGCCTTCAAAGGTATGGAGCCAGTTATTGTTATTGCAATATAATACTTGAAAATTACTACCAGCAGCGACTACCATAAATCAGTGTTTAATATGGATATTGTAACTGCAGGTACTATTTTAAAATAAATGTCAATGAATTTACTTGTCTGCAAGATCAAGCTCAAGTAAATTTTCTGTGTTCATTTATGCTTTTTTTTTTCGTCGTTCTTAGAGTAAGTAAACAAGTAATGTATGCCTTTGTGTGTGAACAGGCAGTGGCATTTATGCTACCCACAATGCCACCTCCATGGCATTATTAACATTACTGGCAGACCCCAGATTAGTTAACGCCAGTGATGCTTGGATGATTTTGACCTCATTTCAAGTGATTGACCAATCACGATTAGTTTTGCTAGATTAGTTACTTTCCTATGCTCTCTATAATTTAATTGGTAAAAAGGGGTATTTTATTACATTTTATTTAGTTTACAATGTACATGTTGTGTTGGTTGTGTTCTGTAAGATATTTTAATCTTAAAACCTGCAACACTAACAACTGTTTCACAATTCTAGCCAAAAACATCAGAATTAAAATTGTTCATATAAAATACAGTAATCATACAAGTTAACTTACAACAATTCATAGATTTAAATGTTTTAATGATGCACAGCAGATGTTTTACTACAAAAATTATTTTATATTCTTTATTATAGTTAAGCACCCATACATTATTTAAAACTGAAAACTATTCCCCCATAGGCCTATATTACTATTACTAGTTTGACACGAGTGTTAACATACTGAACGCCGTTCATGTAAACACTTTCGAATTTTAATCCGTGAATTAGCTTATGCGGGTGTAAGCTGCACCTGCCTTACGCCGTGTGTGTGGACACACCCTTAATTACTCATGTACTTTAAGGCGTGGCATGGTCTGTCTCTTGGGGTCCTCTATCTTTTGAAACCTTCAACTTTGTTTGTGCCACTGAGGTACTGTAGGGTTTGGGGGTTGCACCACAGCAGAAGCAGTTTATTTAATTAAATAAGTAAACTTAAATATCAAATTTATATTAAATATTATTTATGCATGAAGACGATTGAATCGGTCTTTTGCACACAAACTTAAAAAAGATGAAGCAAACTGTACACTAATGAAAAATTAGGAAACGGCTGGGGATAGAAAAATAACATTGGGAGTTGCAGTGATGATGTCACGATTGACTTATAATTATCCTTATCAAATAACAGATTGAATATATTGTTTAATCATTTCTTAAATATTAATATTATGTGAGCAATATAATTTCTATTGATTGAACAATAAAGTAATATATACCTCTATTTGTAGACAATGGGATATTGAATAAATGATTAAATACGAAATAACGACAATATAAACAAAGTCAATACCTTAGGAACATTGGCCCATTTTCCAGTTCTAACATCACGAATCGTAGCAATATCCAAGCAGTCTACTTCCTGCATAAACAAAAACAAAGGTATGTTTGAATGAAACTAGAAAATTATTATCATATATCAATTGTTATTATCAAAAACAAGTCCGTGTCGCTTTTTGTTAAAACTAAAACATTAAAGGTATTTGATCTATATGAAAAAAATGCAGCAAGTTTAATGTTTCTTTACAATAAAGGCAAGTTACTTGATCATTTGACCTGTTCTTCCATACCTTTGACTCATATCATAGTCATGATACACGAAATAAATATGACTTTGTTATTGATTTCAAAAATACTAAAGTTGGCCGACAAAGCTATACAGGGACAAAGGTGTGGAATAACCTACAAAGTGATCTCAGGACATGTGCAAACGTTTCCTTATTTAAAAGAAATCTTGATATTACTTATTTTGAAAGTTACAATGTTAAAAACTATAAATGTCAAAAAGGAAATTGCTGTTTTGTTTGGAAAGAAACTTAAGTCTCTATAAATTAAGATATCTATATTCATTATAATTGTTTAAATATATCCCGAATTTTCCTACTTTAATGTTTTATTACCATAAATAATATTTTTATTATTTATTAATATTTTTTATTATTTTTTATAATCTCTAAATAATTTGTTTTGATTGATCCCTGTTATTTTGTTAGTGCGTGTACAATTGTATGTGTGTTTTAATATACAAATTTTTTTTTTTTTAAATGAAATCAGCTGTTTTGATTTTGACTGAATTACTTGATAATGAATTACTTGAAAAGAATTGTAATACTAATGTATTCATCTAAAAATAAAAATATAATCAAACAGGCCTCTGTTGCATAAAAAATCTAGTATTTGTGAATGTTTTACTATTATATTATTAATTATCTAATTTAACATGACATTAATTTCATTTATTAACATTATTACTCTTTATTTTATTATTTATTTATTTACAAAATTACATATAGAATGACTGATTAGCTAATCAGTTGCTTAATTGATTATTGATTAATCACTGTATTTATTTTTTTTTTATCTAAAGGGCACCAAAGTTTAAAGCTGTATTTGATTGTTTGTGGTTGTCCTATTCTATTTCATATGATGCATTTGAATTTGTACTGTTTTTATGTTATTTGCTTTTGAATAAATTACTTTTGAATTGAATTGAATTGAATTGGAAGTATTGATTTGTCCCAATTCTTGATTTTAATGTTTGCTGAGTATATCTTCAAATGTAATACATCCTCACCACAAATAATTTATGAATAAAAGCTTTATGATCTACTGTACTTTTCTGTGAAATTATGAAATTAAGATGAACTTAGGTGGTTGCTATGTGAGTAACTATATGCTAACCATAAAATATTTACTTTCTGTTTAGGTGACTATTTTGAGTAAAATGTTAACGTGGGGAATTTTAGCTTCTGTTATTATTATAGTGTATGACAATCTGATGTAATTTTGTATTCAATAATTTTAAGGATAATGTAATTCTTCAAAAAAATTAAAAACACAGGTCAGTCGGCTAAACTGGGTGCGCTGAACCGTGGAGATCTTTTGGTACCCGGTGCAATTTCATCTGCTGTTTCAACTAGCACACTAAAATGCAAGTATATTTAAAAAGTGCACCTTCTTTTTGGACGCGAAATTTAAAGTGTTGGTTATGTCTGCATGTTAAAGAACACAGTACAATCTCTGGGAAAGAGTAGGGGATTGTCTCCCAGTGTACTGCCCAATGACCATCAGAAGGACAAATTGTGGGTTATCCTTGGTGCCATAGCAAATGAATCCAATTAACCAATCAATATTGTTTACATTGAAGAATCAACTGTGCTTATTATATGACTTGACTTTCATATTCCCGCTTTCATGAATTTAATTCTATGCATTTGCTAGATAAGTGATGATTCCCGAGATGCGCGCCATGGCCAAAGCAATTTACTTTCAACAAATATCTCAAGCAGATATGGTATCATGAAGATAAATTGTAATATATGGAATTAGTAATACCATTATCTAAATGATATCAGTACAAGATATGAGAAATCCTTGGCGTAACAGCAGCATGCAATATACTGTATAACATTAGCTTGTGTTTGCATTCTTGATGATGTTCAGAAACCAAGTTGAATATCTGGCACGAGAAATCAGACCCACACCCCCCCCCCCAACCGTGTCCCAATGTGAATCAAACTCAAAACAATTTCAATTTCAATTATAAAATAATTTTTTTTTAAATATTGGCTATACACCCCGCTCAAAATTGACCGTCAGTTAGGCCTGTTATATGCATACAAAAACCTTCAATACAATTTCCTATATTTTAGGCGGTGTTTAATTAGCCGGTAGTATACCGATTTGTTCAAAAATCATTTTTGTGATGATTAGTGAGGGCACACTCCAACCCTAACCTTGAGGATAGGCAAATTTGAGTTTTAGCAAACCTGATTAAACACTTGTATATTAGGCCATGGGGGAAAAAAGTAGTTTCTCGTCCTAATATTTTCAAAAAAAGAGAATATGGGCACTTTTTTTTTATTCCGAGATGGCAAATTCAAGATGGTCGATGGGAAACAGCTACTACATTCTCACTTTTACCAAGTAGACACATTGAAAGCAAATAAAAGAAGCACTAGACATGATTCATACCATATGTATCCCCAACGATCAAGATAGGAATTTACCGATGCAAGTTAGCCAGATTTTCATACATTTTGTAAAATAAAGATAAAAAAAAAAAAATTGGGGAGGCAGAGAAAATGGAATGCGCGAGGGGACGAGAACCTAGTAATTTTATAGTTTTAATATTAATTTTTAATGATGACTGGCATCGGGCCGTAACAAGGAGTTTTATAGTCAAAAGTCATAGGCGGGGCACACACATGGGTATTTAAATCTTTTTGCAGGCCACAAGAAAATTGCCACCGGCCACCATTTGGCAAAACAAGCAACACTTTGGCCACCTGTGTTATAATAGTAATACATTTTTATACCTTTACTCATTAAAATATGTGTTTAAAGTATAAAACACTTTATGTTAACTTTAATTTTAATTTAAAAAAAAACAATCTATTTATTAAAGACTACAATACTTTCAATGATATTTCATAGGGCAATGAACTGTTGAAATAACTTACTGTTCTGGTAATTATACATTATATACTGTATCCTTGAATGTTTATTTTTGTATTCAGAAAAAAAAAGTATGGTTGTTATTATCCTGACTACTTTAAAGTTTAATAACAAGACAATTCAATCTGAAGAAAAGGAGTAATATATTTTTTAACTAGGTGCTATATTCTGTCAAAAGTTTGTAGTATTTATTCTTTTAAAGTCATAATATCTAAACAAATATATGTATATGCCATATATCTTTAAAAAATTGTTTTAACTATTAACGTAATTATGTCAACATTTTGTTGTATTTTTTATGGTTATAACTCAATGTTTGTAAGCGCCAATTATCATCAAAAACTTATTATTATTATTAATATTATTATTATTGGATTTCAATGACTGGCATCTAGCTGTAACACATTATGTTTTTAATAAAAAAAAGAATGTATTTTTCTGTTAACTAAAGGCTAAGATACTTTCAATGATATTACTGTTCTGGCCATTATGCATTATATACTATATCCTTAAATGTTTATTTTTGTATTCAGAAAAAAAAAAGCATAGTTGGCTACTTGAAAGTTTAATTATCTTCGACAAGGCAATCAAAATATGAGGAAAAGGAGTAATATATTTTTTAACTAAGTACTATATTCTGTCAAAAGTTTGTAGTATTTATTCTTTTAAAGTCATAATATATAAACAAATATGTGTATATACTATATATCTTCAAAATATTGTTTTAACTATTAATGTAATTATGTCAACATTTTGTAGTATTTTTTATGGTTAAAAAATAACTTAATATTTGTAAATGCCATTTATCATCAAAAACTTATTATTGTTATCGCACTTCAATGACTGGCCTCAAGCTGCAACAACATTATGTTTTTGATTTAAAAAAACAATCTATTTTCTGTTAATTAAAGACTACAATACATTAATGGTATTTCATAAGGCAATGAACTGTTGAAATAACTCTGTTCTGGTAATTATGCATACCATATCCTTGAATGTTTATTTTTGTATTCAGGGAAAAAAAGAACTGTTGGTTATTTTCCTGACTACTTTAATGTTTAATTACCTTTGACAAGGTAATCAAACTGTGAGGAAAAGAAGTAATATATTGTTCAACTAAAGTACTATATTTAAAATAAACATTTTGTAGTATATTATCCTTTTAAAGTCATAGTATCTAAATAAATATTTCTAAATGCCGTGTATCTTCAACATTACTGTTTTAACTATTAATGTAGTATTTTCTATGGTAAAATAACTAAATATTTTTAAAGATGTATTGTCCCATGCTTAATATAAAAAAAATCATTAAAATATTTTTTTAAATTAACTTGCCCATTTTAAAGTAACATAAAAGTTATCAACTTGAACATAGAAATTAGTGTTTTTAAAAAATGTCTACACATCAGTTTACAACGAAAAATGACAGAAATACTGGAAGTGTTTTATTATTTTTATTATAATTTTTTGGTAGTTTAGAAATCAGGGTACATTTTTTAAATTCAATTTCTATGCACAAATTAATAATCTGTATGTTATTGCAAAATGAGCAAGTTTATTTCATACTTATTTTTTTTATGATTTTTCGACATTAGCAAGGGACAATACATCTTTAAATGCCATTTATCATAAAAAATATGTTATTATTATTATTATTATTGCATTTCAATGTTTTATATCATTTTTATGATGGTCAACATGGTCATTCCATGACAAAACAATGTGCTGTAACTCCTATATTTTTGTCAAGTTATGTTTTTTTGCCTTGGAACGGCCGCACAATAACTAAAACAGCATAATTTCAATCATTTTGTGTATTAAGCAAAATTTAGGGGATGTATTTTAATTTCTTTCTTAGTACTTAAAATCTATGTAGTTACTTTTCATTCTTCCTATCTCTTGACA